TTTGCAATCTCTCCAGGTTTTTCCTGTGTGCTGTTTTCTCCAGTGATCCATTTTAGTTATGATCCATTTTAGTTTTAAAAAACATCAGATAACTGCAACACAAACTCGGCATTATGTACATATGGTCTTTCTTTTCATGTACACAGCAATCCATTTTCACTTAAACAAATGCATTTGAAACTGGCACAAATTTGGCATTGAGCACAAATTTTGATTCAGAAAATTTGATTGTTAGCTTTTGATTGTTATTGAAGAAGTACAACTTCATAGAATGAAAATTTTTGCATTCTCTATTATTGAATAAAATTCTCACATTTCTGAAGAAATGTGATGTTTTATTTTGCATCAGCTGGAATATTTCGCAGTCCCACTGCAATTTCTTGCAAGAAAAAAAAAATGCTACAAAAGCAATCAATAATCAGGAAAATGACGATTGAATTTGAAGACAGAAATTGGCTCTTATCTTCAGCCCACCTGCATACCTGGGTTGTTAATAAATATATTTCAGCAACATCATGAGTTACCTTTTTTAGCAACATAGTGTGTTAGCTTGTGAATAATTTTAGAGGGGGAAGGTGGTGCATATAATCAAGATGAGCTAAAATTGAATTTAGAAATAATTTTTTATGAGTTGTACACTTTCAACAATTTAGGAAAGGGGAGACATTAATCGCACAGAAACACTTTGCTTTTATCTGAAAAATTTTTCCCTCCAAATGGAACATTAAGTACATTCTGATACAGTGCACACATGCATATTATATTCAGGTCAGAAAAACCATAGTGTTACGAAATGTCACGGCACGGTAAGATGGCTTCCCCGAAAAGCAGTTTTAGGGTTGGCATAAAATAGCAAGGGAAGGCAGGGTTGCCATATTTGGTGAGAAATTGCCCATTTGGCAACAAAACTGGCGATATACCATGGACGGATGGAGAACCTTCTGGAACGAATTCTTACCGGTTTAGCCCAGAATGTTCTTGAACACAAGCCAAAAGCTATATAAAACCTGCTGGTCTGCAGTCAGTGTGTGTGTGTGTGTGCCTCATCTAGAGTGCGAGTTAGTTAGTATCGAGTTAGTGTCTCGTCTAGCGAGTCAATCTCTGCAAAGTCGATCGAGTTGACAGCCGGGCAGCGAGTGCCGAGTGGGGTCGTCGAGTGCACCAAAGGAGTCTGTTAGTGTATCGTGGTAAGCGCATTGTCGAGAGAGCGTGTTGAGCTCCGGGAACGACTGAACCGAAGAGTCGGGAGCTGTGCTCATGTGTCGTCGAGTGCATCGCGAGTTGTAGCGTGGAGATTCTCGAGAGTACGTGGAGTTCTGAAAACGACCAAGCAAGGTCGGGAGTTGTACTCCGGAAAGCAGAGTCGGGTGCTTTGCAGGAAGCTGTCTCCACCGTTATTGCCTGACAGTGTGAAGGCTGTGTCGCTGATTGTTCCAGCGTGTTTATAGTAGATCTTTGACAACTGTAAAAGTGTTTTGGAGCTGTTTTGATTAATATTGATAAATAAAGTGTGTTTCAATACTTCATAAAGTGTCGTCGTTATTCACTCCAAATCCACACGAACTCCGTAGGAACGTGAAGGAAGAAAAACGTAACAACTGGTGTCAGAAGTGGGATTTATGAGGGAATGCCAGTGACCCGCCTGAAGAAAAAAAAAAAACATGGCGGAGGAAACGAAGATTTTGATGGACTTCTTACCCGAGATGAGAGCTGAGATAAAAGCCGGATATCAAGAGATCAAAGCTAAGTTGAAAGCCGGACTGAAGGAGATGAAAGCTACACTGGAAGAAAAGAACACCCGACGAGAAGAATTAAATGTCAGCCAAGAAAAGGTGCAAGAGCAACTCCAACTTCTGAAAGAGGAGCTTACAGAAGAAACTAGAGCCATAAAAAGACGATGTGGAAATGAGAGAAGTGGCTTCTGAAAAATCAAAGGATGAAGAAATGAAGAAAGTAGCTAATGAACTATCTGAGAAAGATACAGAAATGAAGGATGAAATATCTAACAAGATTAAAGACAGAGATCGAAAAGATGAAGAAATAAAAGACAGGAAAGAAGATTTTCATTCTCAAGTGCCTGAAGTGGAAGAAAGTGAAAATGCAATTGTTAAGCTCGTCAAAACTGATAGAGAAGTTCTGAAGTCGCAGTTCGCGAATATTGAACCATCTGAAAATACATGTGATGCAGAGATGACAGAAGTTGATGTGCAGCTTCAGCAGTGTGCTCCAGTGTTGCAAAAAAATCCACCCACTTTGCAAACTATGTGTGCGTCTCATAGCGCAGGTTTTGCATACAAGGACTTGATTTTGATTTTAGACCAGGATATTTGCGTTTGTAAAGTATCGGTTTCTGTTCATAACTCTGATACAAAATTTGGAGCTGGTTTTCAGGAAACGAAGGAAAATGTGCATGTATCAGCTGCTGAAAATACCGAGGTGAACTGTACACATGATGCGAACAAACTTCAGAGTGGTGAACAAATTGTTTCAGATCTTTCGGTGGATGAAAAGTCTGAAAGGACTGAATTTTCAGACTGTGACATGAAAAACAGGAATGCATCTGAGAATTGCAGTGGAAAAGTATTTGACCCGGGTATAAATAATGAAAAGACTGAGACTGAAATTCATTCTTAACTTTAATTTGTATAATTTAAAATTGTGATGTGTTTAATTTGTGTATATAACTTGAACATAGTGTAAATATTTGTTTCTTTTATAAAATTGTGATCTATTTAATTTGTGTAGCTAACTTGTAAATAGTGTAAATATTTGTTTCTTTAGTTATGTTACTTGTTTGTTTTATTATGTTTTGTTTGTATCGAATTCGGCTTCTGACCAAGGGTCGTACTGCCTGGGACGTGCAGTCCTTGGGAGGGGGCAGTGTTACGAAATGTCAAGTCACGGTAAGATGGCTTCCCCACAAAGCAGTTTCAGGGTTGCCATGAAATGGCAAGGGAAGGCAGGGTTGCCACATTTGACGAAAAATCGCCCATTTGGCGACAAAATTGACGATATACCATGGACGGATGGAGAACCTTCTGGAACAAATTCTTAGCGGTTTAGCCCAGAATGTTCTCGAACACAAGCCAAAAGTTATATAATCCCTGCAGATCTGCAGTCAGTTAGTGTGTGTCTCTCATCGAGTGTGTGTGTGCCTCGTCTAGAGTGAGAGTTAGTTAGTATCGAGTTGGTGTCTTGACTAGTGAGTCAATTCCTGCAAAGTCGATCGAGTTGACAGCCGGGCAGCGAGTGCCGAGCGGGTCGTCGAGTGCACCAAAGGAGTCTGTTAGTGTATTGCAGTTATAAAAAATCATCGAGAGAGCGTGTTGAGCTCCGGGAACGACTGAACCGAAGAGTCAGGAGCTGTGCTTGTGTGTCGTTGAGTGCATTGCGAGTTATAGCGTGGAGAGTCTCGAGAGTACATGGAGTTTCGAGAACGACCAAGCAGGGTCGGGAGATGTACTCCGGAAAGCAGAGTCGTGTGCTTTGATAGAAGCTGTCTCCACCGTGATAGCCTGATAACCTGAAGGCTGTGTCGCTGATGATGTCAGCGTGTTTGTGGTAGTTCATCGACGATTGTAAAACATGTTTTGGAGCTGTCCTCACATTACTGGCTAATAAAGTGTGTTTCGATACTTTATCAAGTGTCGTCGCTATTCACTCCAAATCTACAAGCCCTATACGAATGTGAAGGGAGAAAATAACATAACAACTGGTTTCAAAAGGGGGGAAAAATAGCAATAGTAACATTCACTTTATTTATTCCAAAAATGTTTTAAATAAGAAATGCATACTTATTCACTTTTTCTGCTAGCCAAAAGATCATGAAAATTATTTCCTAAATTAGTCTATCTATAGGTACTGACATATTAACACAAATTTTTACACACAATAAAAAATGATGACCTATAATGAAAAAAATACTTATTATACACATAAATATTCTTCTGTTTATGACTTATATTTTAATTAAGCCTTTATCTCCCAAATCAATTAACAAATCTACTTATAAGTAAGTTTTTATTTCCTTTGTTGAAGAGGAAATTTTAGGCCGATCACTTTAGATTCAAAATAATAGTTTCCTTTAGTAATTCTGCTGCAAATTGCAGTACTTGTGCAGAAATTTTACCACAATTCTTTCTAATGTAGGCAAATTCCACAAGTACATGCTTTAAAATTGAGTTTAGGACAGCAAATATAATTATCAACAAATATCCCTTTTTTATAAAAACCACTGGAACTTAGAATACAGCTAAAAATAATGTATATAAAGATGGTTAGAATGTATGTATTAGTACAACCATCTGAGTGCAAGTTTGCTATTTGTTTACGGAAGAATGCTGACTTACAATTGCAAAAAAATTGCTTACCACATGCATACATATTTTACATTTTAATTATAAATTTATCTCAAAAATCAATTAAAAACATATTGACAACATAATAAATATAACATATCAATTAAAAAATACATTGACAAAAAATTTTTTGAATGGTGGTTTTTGTAGCAATTTCTTTAAGAATTGACTCAAAATAATTACTCCTTGCAATTCTTTCACTGCAGGCAAATCGCTTAAGCACTTATCTTAAAATTAAGTTTGAAACAAGAACTAATTTTTTTTTTAATGAAAATTACTGGAATTTGGTATACAAGAAAGACAAAAAATGGTGATGTTGCATATTAAAATTGAACAATTATTATGCACATGGTTGCCAGTTTGCCTCATTCTGAAAATAAGGTGACTTTTACTAATGTGGTTGAGTTATTACATAAATACTTACTGGTGATGCTGCTTCTTAAAATTTAAGAAATGTTATGCCCATGATAGCCTAAAAAACTGTTTTGCATATAGATGTTATTGTTTTGTATACTCCGAAAATTTGGCGACTTTTACTACAGTGGTTGCATTAACAGTATGTATAAATTGGTTAAACTAAAGAATTTATAACTAAACAATTGCATTAATTAAATGACAGAAATAATAATAAAATTATCTCACTTTTTAGTAGGAGGACTAGAAGCAAAAGGAACATTTAAAGCATCTTGAATCATCAAATGTTTAGAAACTGCATCACTCAGTTTTTCACCAGTGTCTGTACCAAAAACTTCACTTTCATCTTCAGGTAAAGAATTTTTATGGCTGCTACTAGATTTTACAGATTCATGAACAGATTCAATAACAGATCTTGCAGATTCATGAATAGACTCAATCTCAGATCTGATAGATTCCTGAGTAGATTCAGTCTCAGATTTTATAGAATCATGAAGAGATTCAATCGCAGATTTTTTTGATTCATGAGTAGACTCAATCTCAGACCTGACAGATTCTTGCACAGATTCACTCCCAGAATTTTTTGATTCATGAACAGACTGTTTTTCATGGCTGCTACTAGATATATTTAATATCAATTCATCAGTGGTCTTTTCTTCATGGCTATGATTAAATACATTATTTTTAAGGGATTTTGCTGTTTCATGATCAAGTTCTACGTATTTATCAGTATGATCTTTATCAGAGGCACTGCTCACAGATTTCATTATTTCAGAAACAGATTTTTCATTTTTATTTGATGAATTTAACACGAAATTAGTAACAGAATTACTTTTGCTGAATTGACTACCTGAAGAAATTTTTTCAGATAAATGAACTTCATCACTAGGCAATTTAACAGAATTTTCTTTTTCAATATTTTGCACATTTTTTGAATTTGCTACTACACTAATTACTTCAGATATTGTGGAGTCAGAACGAGATTTCTTGGAGGTGTCATTAAATTCTAAACTCGCATGCAACACAACACTGTCTTCAGAGATTGATTCTGAACTAAGTGTTCCAGAAATAAGTGACTCTGAGACCTCTTCTGCTTGCTCTTCAGCAGCAGAAACATTCTGATTTGATGTAGCACTAAGTATTGCTTCAGAAATGAGCAGTTCTGATGTTGCTGATTGCTCTTCCATAGAAGTAGAAACATTTTGATTTGATGTATGTCTATTTATTGATCTGTGTTCTCTGTGCTTCGCAGCTGAATATTTCACAGCTTGATCAGAACTAGATTTCTTGTCAGTTGAATGTAAGATAGCACTCCTATTTTTAATTGCTAAATTATTCTCAAATTCATATTTAGTAGCAGGCACCTTGCTCTGATTACTTCCTTCTAAAGATGAAATAAAATCAGATGAATAGTTATTTGCATCAGATCCTTCTCCTTGGGATACAGGAATTATTCTAGGAGGTGAAAAGCTATGCCCCTCAAATTTTCTTGAGCTTTCTTGAGGAAAACCTGTTAAAAATAAATATTTAATTTTGACATAAAGTACTGGTTAAATTTATATAATAATGATGATTACTGATACTTAAAAAAATCAATTACACTCTTTTAGAAGGGGGGGGGGGCTTACTTACAAATAATTTGATCATCTCGAAATTTTGTATGCAAATTCCTTTGTACCAAGTTTACATATAATTAAAATTTCAAGGCCAATGAGTATTAAAATTGGTCACAGCACATGCTTCTACTGCACAGTTAGGATTGAATAAAATAAGTGACAATTGCGGTATTGTTTATCTTTTCTAGTTGTTGGCGTTGCAGTACCTTGAGACACATCCAATAATGCAATAATGACATAGTTGAAGATTTTATAGACAACTGGATGATTTTGAAAGTTGCCACAGAGTAGAGATGCTTGAAGCGGGTTGGTAATACAAAGCAATAGGCTGCCACCTGCACCATATGGATATGATAGAGCAGAGGTGCAGGCAACAATGGTCGCTGTAAGGTATTCGTCAGTGGAATCAATGCTCTGGAAGGTAAAGTTGCATGGATGCAAGGCAAGATTGGATTATTGAGTGACAGGCCCAAACTGCCCCAACGACATCAATGTCTGCTATCCTAATGTGCTACAGCCTCTTTCATACCACCCATGGCACTTGGCTGAGATGGGGTTTCACTGACAGTGGCATTTAATACGTCTGCTTTTAACCCCAAAACATCAACAGAGTTGTCTGGAATGGTGTCATGGCTGACAGCCGAATGGCTTCGCATTGTGTTCAGCAATAAATCTTGCTTCAGTCATGGAGCAGATGACCATTGGATCTGTATGAGAAGGGGAAAAGAAAGCAATCCCAATCAGCTTTTGTAAAGGCACAGAGCTAATACTCTTAGTGTGATGGTGTGGGGTGTTCTTACAACAGCAGGTTAACCCTGGTCATCTTGCACAAACAGCTCAATAATATGTTGATGACATCTTGCAGTTTGCATTAACTTCATGACACCCCATCCTGGAACCATTTTTCAACAGGATAATGCTCACACCTATATGGCTCGCATATCTTTAGACTTTCATTAAGCTGCTGATATTCTTCCTTGGCCAGTAAGGTTATTAGATATTTCAGTAATTGAACATATATGGGATATGGTAGGCTGATAAATTTGGGCACACAAAAATGTCAAAGATCTGGAGTAACAATTGAAAAATGCCTGGCAAAATGTAATACAGCATGAGATTGTTTACCACTCCTTACCACAACATTTACAAGCATGCAATGCCACCAGGGCAGGAAATCACCAATTACTAATTTGACCATTCAATGTACTAGCCACTGATGGATCCCATGGCCTTGAATTTTTAAGATCCCATAGCATGAATTTTTAAAGCTTTGCTCATAACTAATTTCAATAAAAACAGTCACTTTCTTCATGGTGCTTCTTTTTGCAAGAGAATGTATATAAACATTGCCACTAAATTTACTTGAATATTTGCAAGTATACAATATGCAGGAAGATAAATCTTGATTTTCTCAAAATACACAGTTATCTCAATAAGAAACATAGAAAAAAAAATTAATTTAGAAAAGAACATTAATGAAAATATTAAAATGCTATTCAAGCACTAAATTCACGTGTATATTTATATTTTGGACTACATTCTTCTTTCAGCATGTAAAACTCCAGCTTACAACAAATACTAGGAGGATCTGGATATACATTTATCATTGATTTTTAAATTGTTTGTAATAATCCAAGCATTAATTTTTAAGTGCTTTGCAACAGAGTCAAATTAAATAAGTAATCAAGATAATGAATTAACTAAATTAATTAAGAAAACTGCTGAAATATGCCGGTTTTAAAGTCTGGCGTATGGTTACAAATAAGAGGAATACAACCCGATTCACCTGGTCTAAAAATAGACCTTATGATCTTGTTTGGGTCACCTTTTCTAGTGCATAGTATCACCGGTTACTATATCAGAAGGTAATGTTGTATTGTAAACAAGTTCAGCAGAAGTGCCTTGAATCCTCGTTGATGGCCGAGTACAAGCCTGAGAGTTTCTGTCTGTTGTGCTATACCATGTGCTGTTTTAAGATGCCGATGGAGGTTCATCAAAGCTAGGTTTTGCATTAGCAACTAACTATAAAACATCAGTAATTTATCTCAGGCTGATTTAGCAGTTGAATAGGCTGGCTATATGAAGGTTTTATTGATTTTATGTCTAATGTATATACAATTAGTTTTTTTTCTCTTGTAAAGTCCTCATGAATTCATAAGTGAAGAAATGTCTAGCCTAATGCAACCAACACATAAGCATCCATGTAATTAATTCAAAATGGCACAAGTTATATGTTATTAAACACTTCTCTTTAAATAAGGCTTGAACGACACCTGATATGATATAGCATATACCACTTCATAAATACATGCCAATCAATTAAATTATGAATAATTACTACATGTGCTTGGTTTAGCTAACATACCTTTATTGCATTAAATTATAAAATTTTTTTCCATGCTTGCTTAAAATACTGAGCTCCTGGGAAACCTTTTGAAAAATGGTATTAAGTAGAAAAGCAATCAAGCACTTAGCAATAGTTTGGGTATAAATATATATTCAGCATTCTCAGGCTCAAAAAAAAAAAAAAAAAAAAAAAAAAAAAAAAAATGTTGCATTACACATAAAAATTAAAACACTGAATATAGAAATGGAATGATAAATACATAGTCCATATACCCAGAAATAGTATATGGACAATATAGTTTTATCTTCTAAAACTGAAAAGGTGAAGATGATGGAAATGATGATGGTGCATTAATTCAAAATCCCACTTACTCAGCAGTGGGAGACACAGGTAACTGGATGTCTGGGATGGTCATCGTTCAAATGCATATTTTCATTCAAATATGATACTTGAAATTTTTTAATTACAAAACTTCCTTTATTTCATACAAGTAAAAACGAGCAGAGCAAAGAGTTCACTTTTAATTCTTACCTAAAGGTTTTCTGCTCCAGGTATTGATGAAATTGAATGGATCTAGATTAACTTGCAAATTACCAAATTCAAATGACGATGATATTGATTCTGAAATGCTATGTTTTGAATCCGATTTCAACTGAGAAATAAAATAAATATGAAAAATACAATTAATCAATATACATATAAACTGACAAAGCTATAAAAATATTTTTATTCATTTAAAAAAAAAAAACTATTTTTTATTACATAAGAATGTTTTTTTCTATAAAACTGACATTGTTAACTGAGAGCAAAAGAAATCGTATACTCTGTTGCTATTGCATATTACTGACAAGATGAACTTACTTCACTTTTACTAATAGGCATATCTTCTTCTGATGTTAGAGAGCCTTCAATCAGATCATCAGCTGACTAAAATTCATAAAAGGAAAATCGTAAATATCAGAAATTTCTGAAAACTTAAGTTTTGACCAGTGTCAAATTTATTTATTTATTTATTTTTAACTGCAACTCAAAATAAAAGCTCAATGCATTTCAAGAGAAAGTATAATGTTTTAAACATGATAATAAAGGAGACGGATATTCTTGAAACATATCATGCAAAGGTTTGGATTTTGATACTTAATAAAGCAAAATACAGCAGAAAAGAAGTCAGAGATCCGGACTTGTCAGGATGGAAATTTTCTGAATATTAGGTCATCAGTTTAAACCTAGTAAGATTACATGTAGAAATTACAAAATTAAAAATATAAAACATTAGTTCATGAAATAATTTAAAGCCTTTATGACCTTATGGGAATTTAAAATTTACAAATATATATATAAATCTGAAAGCTTTAAGATTTTATATTATGCACAAAGGGGCATTTTTTTTAACGTTTTGTGCATTACCTTTATTTATTAAATATCATGTTCTTCACACTTAAACCATAAAATTCAATTCAACAGCAATATCGCAAAATAATTTTAAAATGAGCATATCTTTAGAATTTTCTATCTCGCATGGTGGAGACAAAAGTGTTCCCCCCATACACTTTTACCATTGCTCGCTTTGAAATCGTTAAGTTTCTTAATCAAAAACTCATAAATGCTTTTCAAAATATGGAATAGATAATAAAACAAATTCCAAATTTAGACTTCCAGATAGTCATATTCAGGTGGAGACGCACACATTATTTAAAATTTGATGGTTCTAGGTACCTTGTTCTATCACAATGCAAGAAACATACATACATTTATGCAGATTCGTCATTATTTAATTTCTTTAACTATAATACAGGGTTCTAATATTTGGTGGCAACAATTTAAAAAATGGTTTGCCGCTTATAGTGAATTGATCCAAAATGTAATTTCATTTGCCATGTGTTAAAGGAACTATTAATTTATAGGCAATTGCCTCTTTGGACTTCTGGGCAAATTGCCTTTTTGGACTAAAAAAGCTCAATATTTATTTAGTTGATTTATTAAATATTTCTTTCAATATAAATTGTTAATTTGCACCATTTGTTTGACTAATACTTCCCCTTTAATTCTATAGACAGATATATTTTTTTTCAGTTACAAAATTCCATTGCTCAATCCTGTAACGGCTGTGTCAAGAATTCCCCCTAAGTTGCTAACTGCTGTGTTAAGAATTCCCACTAAGTTGTTAACTACTGTGTCAAGAATTCTCATTAAGTTGTTAAATGCTGTGTCGATAATTCCCACTTAGTTGTTAATCGAAATTTTTTCATTCTTAGCAATTTTTCTGTCATTTTCTTCACTATTGGTAGTGATATTTTCTGGCTGTAGAATTATACTACAGGTTTTGCTATCCACTAATTCATTGATGACATGAACATGTCATCGCAATGTAAAACCTACTGTTATATCAGCCTCATTTATTACCACTTCTCTACAAATTCCATTAACAGGAAATTTTGGCTTTTTTTTTAGTTAATTCCCTCCCTCCCCCGCCAAGAAACCTTCAAATTCATGGCTATCATCATAAAGCTTAGATAGTATCTATAGATAGTATTTACTATACATTACTACTAATGTATCATGAGACTGGTGACTAAAGACGTTATTCCGCTAAATTTTGTCTACATTGACGTAAGGTAAATGTGAATTCTATCAATTTAGTACTTATTATATTTAAACCCTATTTCGTGCATATGCTTAAGGCTTATCTGAGTCCTGAATAAATAAATTCCCACTACACTAAGGCTTATCCAGGGCTGGCACTAGCCTGGTATAATCTCTGCGACTCTTAAATTCTGCAGCTAAGTGCCTCCCTAAATTCTAAAAATTTTGCATCCCACTGTCTTTCCTAGATTCTAAAGATTTTACTATCTTTTAATTTGGTTTTGGAGCTTCTCTAAATTAAAACAAATTTGCCTTACCTAAACTTTACCACCTGGCGGCAGCTGTATCAGCTCTGAGCAAGTCCTGGGATTATCTGAATAACAAATCAGTTTTTCCCTACACAAACAGCATTAAATGTAATCTTTTTGCATAAGAGTATCATTTACAAAAATCTTTTTTTTTTTTTTTTCCATATGAAAAGAAATTATTGTTAAATTTCTCCTCATCAATACTTTGCAGCTTGGGATGATTAACCAAAACATTAATCAGCCCAGGGTGCAATGTCAACTTAAACAACCAAACTGTTTAATATTCAATTAGAAATATTTAAAAAAAATATTTGTTTAGGCATCGCTGCATGAGACATTTCTGAAATTGCTGAGTGTTAACAACTATGTGGTGATGAAAAAAATAATAATAAATAAGAATCCACTAGCTTGGTGTCAGGGATATAAATTACACAAAATCAACTATGTTTCAATGTAGAATGTTTCGCTTTCAGCAAAGAGGTGGATATACAGCTAAATTATTAATCACACAGATTTATGCTAACAATGATTTTTTCTTCAATATTATTTTACTTAATGCTGAAGTGAAGAAATTAAGAATTAGGGTGCTTTATTATGAAAACATATCATATGCACATGGGTGCAAAGCATAAAAAAATATCTAAAACAAAAGTGAAAAAAAGTTTTCTGTAGTCTAAAGGTCTGGATTTTATATCATTTGGGACATTGGATGTCTGGATTTCAGACTTTGTACTGTATTGCGTTTTGTTAAAATGATTCCCCCATCCCCCCAAAAAAAGAATATGGGTCAGAGAAAGATAATCTGCTTAATAAATTATTAAAAATAAAATAAATCTGAAGATTTATTTATTTTTGAAAGAATAAACATTTTAGATATTAAACTTTGTAAGTATAATTTTAACATGATATAGCAGGGTTCATACGAATTTCTGCACATGGAAATTAGGTACTTTTAAGGACAATTAAGGCTCATTAATGAAACAAATTAAGAGCCCATCAACAAATTGGAACTGAATAAATTCAATTAAAGATATTACACTTTTGTGGTATCATCCTAAGAATGAAATATATCCACAAGTAGAATGCATTATTAGTAAACACAATAAAAATAATTTAATAAACATAATTATAAAAGAAATTTGAGAATAAGATCAACTTTATAAAATTTATCAAGCAGCATTAAATATTTTGCCCTAATAATAGCTGGACATATTTGAAAGAAGATTAGTGACATTTTACTTACATTTTACTAACAGTTAGCTTTATGCTTATCTCTTCTTTTATGTCTCATTTTGTCATGCACTTGCTCAGTCTAGAGGTTTTTTAAATAGTAGGCAGACTATATATCAAACGACATAGGATAAAATGAGAAGCGAAATTATAATCATCATAATCCATAACAGAAGACTGGTTGTTGTCAACGCTGTTGCTTGCCAAGAAAGAGACATGCTGATCAGAACAGACCTGAATCCCTGATGTTGGCAGAGTTAGCAAGTTTTGAAAGTTAGTTATGCTCTGTCTGTCAGATGCAATTAGTGTCGTAGCTTCGTGTAGAATTCCTGGAGTTGCAACCCCGTTAACATACTTTAAGGTTCCAATTAGCCACTAAAGCACCAGATGTTGTTTTGTTTAAGTTGTTTTGTATTATTTTAAATCTCACGAGATGCAAAGAATACGTTTTACATTGATTTGTACATTTTTGTGCTATATCTTGCTACCATGCAAGGATTAATGAAAGGCAATAACTTGCTTTAATATGCAGAAATAAATTTTAAGGCAGTTAGTTACAAATAATCAAATTAGGTAGTTAGATATACCCTTATTCATTACAGCTTTACATGGCCACTATTAAATTTTATTTACTTTTTAAAAGTATTTGTTAAAAAAGAACTATTAAAATCACAATCTATTAATATGTCACAGTTTAAAATACTTGTTATTTGTGACATTGATTCTTAAACGCTATTAAGATAACTACTTATTAACAGATACAAAACATAGCAACAATACTCAACAAAATATTTGTGCATCTTTTAAATTTGAAGCCTTTCCAGACATTATGGCTAATTTATATAAATTTTTATCAATTTATATCAAGCATTTTCTCTAACAATTAGAAATTTGTTTCAATTATGCAAACCAATATTCCCACTAGTTTCTGCTTTATTTCCTATCTTGCCAATCTTTTGACTATGTTCCTATGAGGTTTTACTTGATATGATACAAATTAAATAGTCCAAAACCCCCTGACAGACGTGAAGCAAATTATCGCTATGTCTGAAAATAAAATCAGATAAAGGTTTAAATAAACCTCTTATTTAAAAAGACTTTAGGATATAAAGGCATGTTCTTATGCCAGGAAAATCAACTACAACTTATGGTGATCCAATTAAATGGGAACAGTAAAATTCAAACTAAAAATGTGGACTAGTAGTCAAAGACTACACAATTTAATTTAAGCTGGCTCAGTAACACGTCATAACAAACTTGTAACTCATCGTAATGTAGTTATCGCATAACAAATTACAATATCAGCAGCGATAATGCAAAGACGAATAATTACACGTTAACAAGAGCTGGTAGGAACTAATGCAGAATACAAGCGGAGGCCAGAAACACAATTTAATTTTAATCTAAGCTGGTTCAAAAACACATCATAAAAACTCATAATACTGTAATTATCGTGTAACAAATTCAAATATCGGCAGCGATAACACAAAGATGAATAATTACATGTTAACAGACCTGGTAGGAACTAATGCAGCATGCAAGCAGATTCAAGAAACAAATTCTGTCTTACAATCTCAAAAACTTAGTTTAAAAACCATCTAAGTGACTTTCCTTCTGATGAGGAAACGAAAAGGGAAAATTATAGCGAAGGCTGAAATTATAAAAAACTAGTTAATTTACATAATAATAACTGCACATATCTTTGAAGAATAATTTTCTTTCTCTTTATGTATTTGGTTTCTTTCTTCAGTACGTTTCCTCTTCACTTTAGAATTTTTGGATTTAATTAAAGATTTCTGTTATTCTAAAAAATTAAATGCATTTAGAATGTAGATGCTAATTTTATTTCTTTAGTATATGAACATTCAGCGTGAATATAAAATGTTATATGGTTAGGGCCGATTACAGAGCCAGTGTAGCAGAATTTTTAGATTTTAGTGACACATCAAGCAACAAAATCTAGAAATGGCAAATTTTAGAATTTAGGAAGGCACTAGGCAACAGAGTTTAGGATCCATAGATCAGGTGGGAAAATGCATAGTGCCAGCCCTATGTATGATGCACAAAGCCGTACCTAGGGTTTTCGACGCCCGGGGACAATTGAAGATTTTGCACACCCTTCTGTATGCCAAGAATGAAAAACATTTCATTCTAAAATTCAGTAACATCAATTTGGCACTCCATGGATGCTGCAACCAGGGGCCGATGTCCCCCCTTACCTCACCTTAACTATGCCACTGATGATGCATTGAGACATATAAGATGAATCTTTTAAATTGTCTGTTTTCAATTTCTTAATTAATAGAAAAATTCTTTTCTACAGATGCCTGTCCATGTGATAAGATTAGAAGCATTTTTGATATTTTCTATGCTTGAGTCTAGAGAAAAGTACAGAAAACAAAGAGAAGATAAACACGTTAAGAAAAAGACTTCTAGTATCAGAAGTGAAACATTCAAATATTATGTTTTCATTGTTCTTCCGAAAATTCTCCAAAAACGTTAATCACATACTTTCTGTAAAATACATCCATTACGTGTTAATACCATAAAGACATAATTCTGGAATCTTCTAGATTCATGGGTCTATAAATCTTGCCTTAAATCCTTCTAAACTGTCCAATGTGGTGTCTAAAATTCTAAAGAAAAATTACACCTACCAATTCTGTAATAGCAAAAAGGCAGAAATATGTTGGGGGAAAAAAAAAATCACAGGAAAAAAAGTGTAAAATTAATTTATTATAGAAAATTTATGCATATTGAAACAATTACACAGGAAAACTTTTACCGTGAAAAAATTAAAACAGAGACATTTTTAATTAATTATATAGCTACTTTGCTTTTGCTAAGAATTGTTTTGTAAACTGCGCTAAAGCACTATTTAAGTGTTTATTACCTTGTTTATTTTTCAGATTCAAAATATTGTACGAGTTGCCATAATGGAAAGCAATCCCACTTTATTATATGATAGAGAAAAATAAAAATGTTTTATTTTAATGTTACTCCTTGAGTATAATTTAAATATATTAGCATTATTTTAATGAAATTGTTTAACGTTATAATGTTTTAAAAAATACTGTCCAAAAATTCCCAGATTTCCAAATTAAAAATTTTCTACAGAAACTGATTTTAAAAGCGCTGAAATGTTGATAAGTTGCCAAATTTTGAACCTTTTAACATGTTGACTGAAGTAGGGGGTCACCGGTGACCGGCGCTGTTGTGGGTGCCACCAATGATCGGCGATGCGACCAATAGTAAAATACATAATTAGAGTAAATATCGATACTGATAAATATTTAAATAGCACCATTGTTACTATAATGGTTTGAAGAATAATAAATCGTAAAAATTAAAATTATAAATCGCAAAAATGGTCTACGGATGTTTGGGGGTCGCCGGTGAACCCCAGCATGAAAAATGCATTAAATATTAACTCACATTATCTTATGCAGATAATATTTCAACATAATATATGTTGCATAATAAAAATTTCAAATTGATGCCATGCGCAAACCACGTAAAATGCACGCGGCAGTCAACATGTTAATAAAGAACTCACATTCCCAAAAGTGAAAAATTGTTTAAGAGCTCTTCATTAGAAAAAATTAAATCATTTTGACATGCTTATGTTTCCCACCATTTATATTAGAAATAGGAACAAATTATAATCCATGAGCCTATTCATCTATCCAAAAGATATTTGTTAATGAATCGCCAAAAATATTTGCTAGAAATGACAATTCACATTCAGAATGGCAGTCGTAAAAACAGACAGAAATTTCAGATGATTAAAATTAAGGACCTCCTACCAAGTTTGGTTGAAATTAAGGACCAAAAAGCGATTCCAAAAAATCTAAGGACTTTTAAGGACTCTTAAGGAACGTACGAACCCTGTACAAAATGACAAGCATTGTATACAAAACGCAATGTTTTTCCCATTTCAAAAGAGAAAAAAAAAAAAAAAAAAAAAAATCTTATACAGTTTTAAGTGCATCTGAAGAAAGATTTATGTTTGCTGAAATCATAAAAAAATTTGGGGAAAAAGTAACATATAATAATAATAACAACAAAATTGAATCTCTTGCAAATTATATTTTTCAATTTTTCTCAAATATTTTTGGGAATTTCTGCAACAAATAATAAAATAATCAAAATAACAGTATAAATAATAACACAATATTTATAAGGGCCTACTGCACAATAGGTATTGGCATTAAAATTACATAAATAAATTATCAGTATTTCATATGAGAAAATACAGGATCTATGGCTTACTTCTTGGAAAGCATGGTTATCAGACTGAAGTAACTCATGACTAAATTTAAATTTTGACTTCAATGATGTACTTCTGTCCAAGATTTTTTCATACAATTGACTCACATCACCAATATCTACAAAAACATAGAATTTCAAGACATAAATTTGCAAAATTTAAATACTTTTGTTTATAAATACATATGTACAATTACACAAAAATTTAGCCACTCAAAATAGTTTTCAAAAATTGAAATTAAAAAACTGTGTGATCCCTCAATTTGAGCTTCACAACTAAAAAGATATTATAAATTGATTTTCTTGCAAGTCCATCACAAAATTCAAAATACTTTCCCCCACCCTTACTTATAATGAAGAATATTTAGAGGTGTCATGATATGAAAGATTTTGAGTTCTATAAATCTAATGCTGCTAAACTCTGAATCAGCAAGAAGTGGAACAGGTTCAGTAAACATACAGTAGACTATATTGTAAAAATTCAGGTGTCATTCAATATGGCTTCCTTTCCATATTTACTTAAAGGATCTTCTTAATGACAGGAATTTATAGTATTAAATGTCAACAATAAAAAGAATAAGAGATGTAGATTTTCATTGTGTCAAATAAAAACTCCAATAGTATTTCATCACAAATTTATCAGTTTCTTGTTTATCATTCCATTTACAGAATGCTACAGAAGTCGGAGCATTTCATTTGATTCCTAGCATGCTTCAATCTAAATAACATGACTGCAGTTTGTCAAGATGAATTCAATTTAAAATAGCAAAGAGAAATCATTATACAGGGTGTCCCAAAACAATCGCATAAACTCTGCACAGCTCGATTCTTTGTTGGGAGTACATAAAAACTGCCCAAAGAAGCGTTTACTCAGGAATCGCCTGCTTGGACCATACCTGTTGCCTGAACAGCTCTCGGGACAGCCGTACTTAGTGTTTCTCAATGAGGTCTTAAACAAGTTTCTCGATGACATTCCATTAGCGGCAATAGAGGGTTTTTGTTACGCCATGATGAGGATCCAACACATTTCTGTGCTCCTGTACATGGTCGGCTGGATATGGAATACCTCGGCCGCTGGAACGGAGTTGGTGGTCCGGTTCTATGGCCGCCACATTCGCCAGATATTACACCGTTGGATTTTTTCCTATGGGGCCATCTTAAGGAACTGATGTATCAAGACGTAGTGACAACACCAATGGACTTAGTTGCTCGTCTGCATATTGCTTGTACTTCGGTGGACCCTGTGACGCTGCAACGTGTGATGACAGCCATTCCACGGCGTGCTCCAGCCTGCTTCGACATGCACGACGGACACTTTGAACATCTGCTTTAAATTGTGCACATACTGTTGATATGTTCAACAAAGTGTTTTTTCTTGTACTGGCAGTGATGTCATACTTTGTTTTTCATATTTTTCTCGTAAACTATGAATCGTACAGGAACGCTTTTTTGGGAAGTTTTTATGTACTTTCCAACGAGGAATCTAGCTGTGCAGAATTTATGCGATCATTTTGGGATATCCTGTATTCCTCTCCAATTTTGAGTTCCACAGTAGACACTTTTAATATCATGGTCCTTGTTTCATGTTAAGTTGGCACTGGGATTATTGCTACATTCATGTTTACTTCTCACATGCACTTTGTGGCAGCCATGTTTCCATGAGTGCTTTTAATACGGCATCAGAAGCATTTTCTAATCTCAAGGACTTTTGCCACATGAACTTTCCAGTGTATGACTGATGATGATGGTTAACTGTGGTGATTTCATTGTTTTTTATTCTGCTGTTTAATAATGTGCCACAGTCTTTTAGTATTTTGTGTAAAAGTAACTGTTATTGGATCAACTGTATTAAATTTATGGTTTAATTTACGGTAATGTTTTTAACCTCTCCTTTTTCTAGTTCCTCTGTTTTACATGTTTGCTAACAGTCTGAAATCACTGATCCCTCTTGCACATGGCTGATGATTTTTGCAAGAGTGTAGTTACCTCTCTATTTGGAGCTCAGGATAGAAAAAATTCCTTTGTTTCTCAATAACCCTCCTGCTATATTTTCCCTATAAAAACATATTGTTTATGTTTATAACTTTTTCGCAGCCATCTATTCACTTATTTAATTGTTTGAAGATACATAAAATATACGTTTCTCATAAAACTGCTCCAACCAATAGTTGTATTTTCATAAAAACCGAGTTGCTTCTGTCATCACTTAATCAACATCAGTTCCTCTGCCCAACAGCAAATAAATTGAAAAATATTACTGATATATATATATATATATATATTACTAATGAGCTATTTGTCAAAGAGTATGCTTTTTCTCCACTTGCAGCTTTTCACACTGCACTTTCCAATGTAAGTGTAGTTTTATTTCATGGCCATTTTCGTATATACAAATGAAAAGCAAAATGTGTCTTTCCTGGAAGAAAAGACCACTTTCCTCATTTCTCAGGGATTCAAATATTTCAAAACTTTTTTTTTTTTAAGTGCATTAATATGTGGTGTACTTATAGCTCTTCCAATGATGACAGAATTATGACTGATTGTGAATTTTTAATATTCTCATGGAAAAAATATGATAACATATAGTTTACTCAGAGATCTTCTTACCATAAACAAATTGAAAATGACCATTCTTAGGACTGCTTGCCATTTGAAAATGGTTTGCACTAGCCATCTATTGATAATTTTGGTATTATTTATAACATGATGTCACAATAATAAGAAAGCACCAAACTTTCTATTTTGAGAGGTTGTTTTTCTTTGTATATTGCAAATAAGCACTATTTTTCTTATTCAGTGAAAATAATAAAACCTCTTTTAAGATGCTAATAATAATAATAATTAAAATGTTTAAGACAGCTGGCCATCTGAAGAAGATTTGACACCAATAATCTTGGTGCCATTTACAAAAGAGGGTCCGTAATAATAAGGAAGTATCCAACTTTCCCCTTTTGACAGGTTGTTTTCCTCCATATATTGAAAGAAAGTACTATTTTAATCATTTAGGGAAATTAATAAAACCTCCTTCAAGATATTAATAATTACAACAATCGTTTCATACAAAAATGGGCTTCATTGATTAATTTACATATGAAGATCAGAAAATTTGTAAACTTGCAAACTATTGGAATTGAAAACCCTAAAAGGAAAAAAATCCTAATTTCATTTGCAAAAAAAAAAGAAAGTGTATTCATTTACACTATATTATATAATCACAGTTAACATCTGCACATATTCTCATGTGACTCCCTCCTTTTATTTTCTCATGTGACTTAATCAGAATTAATATCCACATATTTTTTTATGTGATTGTTTCAGTACACAGTTCCTAGCTGACATAAAAAAAGTGCAATTTACTATTACCAATAATGGATAAGCATGACATCATATCATACATCAGGTTTTCACCTTAACTTCATATATTAATTCTCAGTAAGCCACTTTAGTTTTTGTAACAAAGGCTATAAGTTAACTATTATAATGTTACCAGTATGCATGCGTGATTAAATATCTTTGTACTCTGTCACTCAGTCACTCACTCACTCACACGCACGCGCGCGCACACACACACACACACAAAACCTCACACACACACACACACACACACACACGCGCACACACACACACACACACACAAAACCTCCCAAATAAGTCTTTCCATGATTTTTTACTCATGTATAAACTAATTAAAAAAAGACATAAAATGAACATTCATGTGCAAAAAATAATAAAACATTTTGTAGCTGAAACCTTTAGAATATTTGAATTATACATGGCTATTTCCCTATTTTCTTCTCACATTTTGAAAAAATTATTAAAATTTTAGATCTGCTTCCAACAGAAGACAAAGGAGTGGTGTATTTTCAAAGTTATGGGATTCTGGTGTCAGACAGCTACAGGCCGAAGCAAGGCCAACACTTGTGCATTCAAGTAGGCATATTAGGCATCACTGGTCATTACTACATTACTAACTGCTAAGGTTCCACTCCCGATGGAATTCCGAGGAAGCACACCTTGGGGTGTGATCCAAGGGTCTCTCACCTCTCGACCAATCTACCACCAATCTCTTGTGAGGATTTCAGATCGCGGTGTATTTTGAGTGCTCACTTGTCATACTGACATTGTATTCTTACAATCATCTATGCCTTCTCCAGGATTTGAACCCAGTTCTTTCAGTGCAGCAGTCAGCATCACAAAACATTATACCATCTAGGCGGCTCTGCCATCCAATTAAATTTGCATTTACATGATAAACAACAATCATATTTTAGGTCTAAGGCACTCTTAGAAATCGACATTTAATATATATGGGACAACAATGATATGGGACTTTACTGCTAATAGATGAACAATGATTATGTAGTATGTACCAAGTTCATATACAAAATTACTATTTTTTAAATGCCACTTGGGATTTTAAGCTGCCAAAATGAAAGGTGCAAAATCTTTTTTTTTTTTTTTTTTTAAATTTGTTCAGATAATGGTATGTGCATAGCTTTATCTAAATTAAAAGTAACGCCATTCTTTAACTTCTGCCACAATGTTTGACACAAGTTTGGTGAAATCTTCATCTTCTGCGGTTGTATAGGAAAATATAGTACCATTGTTTCAACTTCCATAGTCTTCCTAAAAATTCCAAACTTTTACAATTCTTTGTTTACTGCCTCAATGACAGTATTTTTGTCTCTGAACACTTGATCTATGCTTTTAATTCAGCAACGAGACAGCATAAATTTACACATATTATTCAAAACTGAATTACACTTTTCTTTGTTCATATCATAATTACAGCACCTTAAAACTATTTATATACAAAATATAATGGTTTCTATACATTCTATCCTTTTTTAAAATATTCTTTGACTTAGTAAACTGCATCTGCATCAATTAAACTTCTCTAGGCTGCTAAAGTAACAAAACATATTGAAACCATGTGTATCAATAATCTCATACGAATTAATATCAACCTCTTATTAAATGTATCAACTTCCACAGCTTTCAAAGAAAAGACTGAAAGCCTGCTAACATAATTTCCAACAGAGAATATAAAACATGTGGTAGAATAAAAACATACTGTGTAGCTCCATCTATAAGACAAGAATTTTTGGAAAGCTTTATTACAGGGATTGGCTGATATTCAGATCTGCTTATCTTGGAAAAAACATCAATACTTTTCTGTCAGGGGGGTGCAAGTGATAAATTGTCACTTTAGCACTTTTTTATTTTAGTTTATATTTCTTAAGTTTATGAAAAAAATAATTTTAAATGGAATGAGTAATTTGTTTTGTGAAAATTAATTTTTTATTTTCAAAATTGTTTATACTGCTGGTTTGTTACACTATCATCAAAACAAAAAATCAGATGTTGGCAAAATTTGTACCCAACTAATGGAAAACAATCACGTGCTACCTTTTTGAATTTTTGTAGTTCCTCTAATTCAAGACATTTTTTCCTCAACTCTCAAACTTGTTTTTTTAACTACGAGAAACACTGTGTAGGCATTCTGTTATTAGAATTTTTAGCAAACCTGATCATCTGTAGTTTGAAATTTGCCACCTAATTATTTCTCTTCCTACTCGTCCTTCAGTTAAAAAATAAAATGGCACAGATACTGCAAATCATTATAAGATAACAAATGAATGGGAACAATGTGCTTGCTTTAGATATGGTTAACAAAATTAAAACTAGCATCATTGGTATTTTACTTTACAGCAGTTGGTATTCAAATGGTTCCACGTTTACACACATGGTTCAGCAGAAATTGCAATAAAAAATGCCAATGCTGGAGCCTATTCAAGTAATTTTAGTATTAGCTGTCCTGTTGGGAAGCACTGTGACAATTTTGATGGAGACACATCAACTGTAACGTATGCAAATGATAAATTAAAAAATTGATGCTAGGTCATAGTTAATTACTTTCAATCATAGTTACCTACTTTTAACATGCCATAGATCTGGACATCGATTCTAAAAAGTGCAGCAACCCTGCATGAAAGAGGTGAAAATGATCAAACTATTCATTTGGATAATAGAATATAAACAGATCAGTTATCTGCAAAAACTCTGACCTTAGAAATGTTTGAAAGCAGTTTGCAGCATGTAAACCAAATTATCTGGTTGTAATAAAAGTTTTCCACCAAAAAACGTCCTTAATAAAGTTAGGAAAAAAGAATATGAAAGCAGTATCTTTAGTGTGAGTAGTAATCACCACCCAAATGTATGATTTTCTGCTAATATTTCGGTAGTTTTTCGAAGCCTTTGGCTCAGAAACTTGCTGGTTGCAAGTCCAAAAACAGATAAATCTCATTTCATATGTCCTGCGCAGAATGGAAGATAGCACCAACAAAATGTAGCTGCAAGTGTGAAAAAAAGTAGAAGTGCGAAAGAGCGATGTCGGAGCTTTCTGGTGGACGTGGCAAAAGATCACATTTGAGTCCACACAGAGTCCAGCCAGTGAATGCAGACACATGTGGCCTTGCATTACCTTTTTGCTGCTGGACTCTGCTCAACATTTTCCCTTGATAGCAGCATCGTCACAGACTGGCATCTTGCTGTGCACTTTACTGTCAAGGGTTTTGCCCTTCTCCAGATACACTTTGTGGATAATAAATACCACAGTAATCTCACCAGATACAAAGTCTGACCTTTTCGTTAGTCAAATTGCACTTTGCAATGCTGCCGACGGGTTTACCAGTTGCAAACCAACCCCCTTTCCGACCAGTCTTGTTGAAGTAAATACACTTTTCACAAGTGACAATCTGGTCCAGAATTTTTTCCTTGCATTCATATTTGAGCAGATTAATGCTGGACCAAACACATCTGTCCTTATATGCTTGAGTCAGCTCAAGCGGCACCCAGTGATTGAACTTGTATGTCAAGTTTATGTGATGCATAGCTTAACTAATGGACATGGCACTAACATCTAACTTTTTAACAAGCTCTCAAGTTATTGCATACTGATCTTCTGGCATAAGTTATCACAGGCAGGCCTCATCAACATCAGTAAGTCAGCCAGAGCGCTCTGCTTCTTGAATGTCATAGTCCTTGTTTTTGAACTTTCGGTACCAAACTTTCACAGTGTCGTATGACACAATATTTTACCTAAAGCTGTACACATGATTTGGTGACATTCTGTAGCTGACATTTTGCAATGAAACGAGAAATAAATGATGGCTTTAATCTGGTAGTATGATAGTTCCATTTCAGACACCTTGTACTTAATGATAACAATATTTTTTACAAATTTCACAACAGAGTGTTTTAAAGCAAGTCTTTCAAATGCCAAAAATTGTTTGACAAAATATGATTAATCATGCCAACGTGAACTCTTTGCAAAGATGATATTTGCGGTGCAGGAAACTTTAATTAAAACCTGACATTTCATTGTGTTTTAATTACAGAATGTAAGTATAACACAATATTTTTAATATCTAAAAAACTGTCTAGTGTTAAGTTTTAAGATTTCTTTCTCAACTGTATGTATGGATGCACCCAGCCCTATTTGTTTACTTAATTTATATTTATTGAAAGTTTCAAGATATCTCTCTTTACTTCTATATGCATTAATACACTAAGTACATATCTACTTATATTGCTTTATAACAACCAGTTTTATTATGAAAATGAGTTTTGAAATGCTACATTAGCATCTAACACACAGAACCAAACAATAGAGTAAAAAGAAAACAAAGTATACTTACCAGTTACGCGCTCTTTAAAGCTACTCTCTTCCTTAGGTCTACCTTGAGCAATATCTGACTTGATGTCAAGACTCAGTTTAAAAAATTCTAAGTTTTTTTCAACATGACCATTCTGTATAAAAGATATATTGGTATTTCTTGACTTCTGTTTTGGAGGAGGAGGACTTTCTTCGACCCACTTTTTAGTTCTTAAAAGATGCTGATAAGGGTCTATCATAGTATCAATAGATTTTGCCAAGTTTTTCAATTTTTCAGAATGCTTGGATTTTGCTGAAAGATAAATAAAGATACTAACAAAAATAATAGTGTCGACAGAAATGATATACAATCATTAAAATGTAAAATGTAAGGGAGAAACATACAAAATAATGTATAGTAGTTATATAGGAAAATAAAAGATATATAAAATATACTGTATTTGGTTAAGTAAATAAACATAGACTTTTGTTTAAATGTTTTTGTTATTATCCATTGCTATTCTTTACTAACTGACCGAAATTTCAGTCCACAGGAATGCACTCAAGGAGTTTGGACACTATGATGGTTAATTAGGTAAAATTGTTTCATTATAATGCAGTTGTATCGTATTTTACGAAACACCTCCAAACAATTTACACGCAATATTTAATATATTACTGAATAAAAAAATTTAAATAATAACATTTATATATCCTGTAACAAAGAATTTATGACGCAATGTGTTTTTAGTCTCAGAAGCCTTTTTCTGTATCTTGGAGTAGCAACCCAAGACACTGGACCTGGATCCAGAGTAGAAATGCAAGATCCAGTAACAGTTTGGGAAAATAATATCAAAGCTTCTGATTCAGTGACACTTTAGAGAAATGAAAATTTCTTTTATAGAAATGGACAATATCTCTGCCCAAAACAAAAAATATTATACTCATTAGATAAGTTGATTGAATGTAATGGATTGAGAATGTAATTTACCATATGTAATATAAAGAAATCACATTAAGACTGTGCTTGTTAAATATAAAACAAATGATTTTATCTATTTTGTAATAAAGCTGTAAAAGACTGCATAAATTATAAGCTTTATGCTTTAGAATAGTGACAAATATATTCTAATCTTCCCCCCAAAAAGAGAAGTGTTCTTAGCTGCATCTACATCTATATGTTACTTGGCACACTACAATTATATGAATAGTGAGCCACATGAAGATAAGAATACTCATATGTGTACATAATCCAAGTTGCAGTTTGTAGGCTAGCATTAAAAATCAAGTTATTTAAGGTGGGAGACTTCTACAGAAGTAATAACTTATATAGGTGCTATTTCTGTACTATGTAAGGTTTACAGAAATGATGTCTCTATTTGGCACTGTAAAAGTCATAATTTCAGGACCAGTGTAAGAAGATTTTAGCCCTCTGCAATACGCGCATCACTTGAGCTGCTTGATTTTAAGGGGATCATTAGCAAATGATTCTGCAGCTCCTTTGATGTCTTCAATCGTAACAAATCAAGAGAATTTAAATTATACAACAGAAAGGCTAAAACAGCATGATGAACTCAAGCTGCAAAATGTACCAGATAAAGCAAGTACACAGGATGCTCCAAAACTCTAAAATAGAAAGAACTGTCAAACACTTATGTAGTCAGAAAGTGAAGACAGTCTCTGAAAGCATATTAGTTAAGTTAATGCAAATAATACATATTGTTAATCTGTTGTCATTATTATTAGTAATGTTATTATGCTTTTCAGATTATTTAATAAACATCCTGAAGTTCAGTGTTGCAGTTGTTCAAGAACTAAAATACTCTACAAACTACATGTGATATTTCTGTATTTAAATAATGTTTGTTTCTTTATTCATTACAATTTTAAATGAATTTTAGTTAATTTACCATTAATTACCCCTTTTATTAAAAAATTGAAGATGATGTTCATAAAACTTATGGTAAGTAACAACTTCCTTTAAGATAAAACTTCACCATAATACTTTTTTAAGAATTCATTATCAATTTATTAAAAAGGGGCTACATTAATATGCGGCACTTACGATTTTCAACAGTAATAAAAGTGGGCAATTAATAGCATTATCAGAATTTTATACACAAGAAAGAAACTGAGATATGAAAGCTATAGCACTTTTTAAACACTAATGAAAGCACTGAAGACACATTAAAGAATTACTCACAGACAGAATTACTCACAATCACACACTACAGATGAAACAAAAATTTAATTTGGCAACCACATTTAAAAACAATTGTTATTATCATTATTATAATCAAATAGCTTACCAACAGGAAAAGGTATTTCTGTGTTAGAGAGTTCTTGAAATGTTACTTGACCAACTTCTAAAGACTGACTAAGATGGCTAGGATTAGATAGAGATGAAATTGAACTATACTGGTATAATGACAAAGAACCATTCGATACTGATGGGATTTCAGCAGGAACTGAATGTTCATGGCTGTTAATTTTTTGAGATGACGAAAAGAGACTGCTCTCTATAACAGTTTCTTTTTGTTCTACATGAACATTTATTGCACCTTTTTCTATGTTTCTGTCTTGAGAATTAGTTTCATTGTTATTTTGCATAAGACTGGAAGCACTGCCCACAGCACTTGTTGATAGAACTCCCTTTTCAAGTTTATTTGCATTAGATACACTAACAACACATTTTTCTTTTCTTTCAGATTTAGATGGAATTTCTTTTTTACCTGCAGTACTTTCTATATTTACACCAGTAATATTTACATGATGCTGAAATTCGATATAGTCTTTGCTTTCATTTTTAAAATTTATATCAATAACTTTATTTTCATGTTTTCTTTCTAAAATATCTTTTCCTTGAAACAGCTATGGGAGAAAAAAAAATTATAATATAGCACATCCATATAAATTTAAAAAAGAAATTCTAATACAATAACATACAGAAGGTCCATAAAATTGAACTCTGGCTTTAAAAGTACCATTAAGGGCTTCAAAACAAACTAGCATTTATACAAAACATGTGACATACTATTTATAATACAAATGACAAGATAAACAATTTATCATATGCAGAAACAATTTATTATGCATTTTTTTAATAGCAGAATTCTGCCCATCACATCTACAATTTACAATTGTGGAGGGAGGAAAACATGGCATGAAATTTTGAAATCAATGCTAAATAACATAAACTTGTAACACAGAACATCAGGCATCTCCAGTTCTGTCTTCCACAATAATCAAGCAATACACACTCATTTGAGACCAATATAAGTAAGCAGAGAAATGGAATGGTTATTTTGGGATCTTATGTTTTCAGGCTATAGCAAACTTAAGAGCTGTGCATTGTGCTGGTGCTCCAGCTTAAGTTCAGAAATATGCCATCGGAGTAAAATGGCTATCGACAGTCAGAGAGTACTTAACTTATTTCACATATCTAATTTCTACAGAAGGTGATGTATCATCATAATGGATAAGCATGGCATCACAATATTACTAACTTATAAAACATCCATTATGTAACCTCAAGTTTAATTTCTGTAAATAAAGGCATAGGTTAATTGCTAAATGTTATCAGTATGTATCTATTATTAAATAAATATCTATGTACACACCAAATAAATGCACAATTTTCTTTTGAATTAAAGTTGTCTGTTAGATATATTAATCAAAACTTTTTTTAATCACTTGACCAGAAGCTCACAAAAAGAAAAGTCTAAAATAAAAACACACATGTGAAAAATAACATATATTTTTTTTTTAACTGAAATAATTAGAATATTAAAACCAAACACTTGGAAGGATAGCATATCCCTCTATTTTTCTTTCCTCGCATACTGAAAAATATTTCAAGGACTTTGTTTAAGTTTTGTTAACATGCTATATCTATTAATTCAGAAGTCAAACAACAAAATTCAGCGTTATATTTACAAAAATTTCGCAGGACTAGTTTCGATGGTTTTACCGAACCACCATCTTCAGCTGCAAAACCGCAAATGAACAAGATAGGAAATAATGATTAGATAAGATAAGAAAGCCTGGACAAGAATAAGCAAGTGGTGCCATCTGTTGGTGAAACCAGAACTAAAACATAATTTCTTTAAAGGCCGAAGGCAAATTTGGATTGGAATTAGGATCGTTAACTAGAACAGAAAGATTTTTATGAATGTGAAATGCCTCTAGAAAATCCAGTTCTCCAATGGAAGATGGTTTTTGAATAATTTTGGCAGCAGAAAAATTGAAAGTGTGATTTTCGGACCAACAATGTTGAGCAACAGAAGACTTCTGTGTTTCCTTTTTTCTAACATATGCCTCATGTTCCTTGACGCGAAATTTTAAGGCTCTCTTAGTTTGGCCAATGTAAATTAAACCACACTGGCAAGGAATCCTATAAATACCCCAGGAATTCATATCCGGAATGGGGTCCTTGAGTATAGAAGTTGGAATTTTATTGATGGGAGAGTAAACAACCCGAAAGTTAAATTTCTGCAAAATATGTGCAAACTTTATAGCTAATTGATGGAAAGAAGGGAATGACAACAGAATTTTTATAATCTCCTAAAATAAGAGTGTGGCTTTTAGTGTGTTGAGATGAGAATTTTTTAACTGCTTGATTAATAATGTTGGGTGAAAAGCCCCTGTCAATAGCTATTGCTTTTAAATAATTTAGTTCTTCATCAAGGGCTAGTTTGGAGGAGCAAACTTGAAGAGCATGGAAACACATAGGAATAAAATGAAGCTAACTTTTGTTTAGTCGGATGACATGATTTAAAGTGTGGTGGAAGGCAAACCGATGAAGGTTTACAGTAAACCGTAGTACTGAAGTTGGATGTGTTACGTGTGACCAGAATGTCGAGAAACGGAAGAGAATTGCAAGTCTCAACGGAAGGGAATTGCAAGTCTCAAGTTCAAAAGTGAACTGAATAGCAGGATCAATAGAATTCATTGTTGAAAGAACTTTATTTAAATCATCTTTATTCCTTTAAAACAGGGTAAAAGTATCATCTATGTAGCGGAACCATGCCAGGAAGTTTAAAGTTTCAAACAATTTTGATTCATAATAATGCATGTAGATATCAGCCAGGATGGGACTGAGGGGGCTTCCCATGGCTAATCCCTCAGTTTGCTTGTAAAATTTATTTTGTAAAACAAAATGTGTTTGTTTCAAACAGAGTTGAGTGAGAGAAATTAGCTCATCAATTTCGATGCAAGAGAAATGAAATTCGCGAAGTCTGGTTTCTAGATATCTTAATGCACCCTCCACTGGGACATTGGTGAATAATGATTTTACATCAAAAGAAACCATGAGTAAATTACTAGGAGAAAATGTTTTTTAACTTTTTTTTACAAACTCTATTGAATTTTTTATGGTGTAAATGTTATTGTCTAATAGAGTTGAAAATCTAGAAACTAAATATTTAGCTAATGGATACGAGGCAGTACCTAAATTTGATACAAATTTTGTTGTTTGACTTCTGAATTAATATTTATTCGGCGTGTTATTTTGTCTTAATGCTATACCTATATCTACCAACAGCAGATTATTTAATTAAATAAAGAGCAGTCTGTTCCTTCAAAATTCCAGAATGACTGGTGCAAATGTGGCAAGATTTCTGCCAACTTTCATGATCAATGGGAAAATAAAATATCCTTCATATCAATTTATCACATCTTATAAACCCCTGAAACAGTACATCATACTGAATAGCGTAGAAATGACATCTCTTCCTTTCTCAGCTTTTGCAGATTAAGTTACAATATTCATATCACTTACATTTACCTTGAAGCATGAATTTTTAAAATCGAATTTGTTTTTTATATATTTAATATTTTGAGCTAATTTTATAATATTTTGCTTTACAAAATCAAAGATTTAAAAGCAGTATGTTGCCACTCAATAAATCATTCACAGTATTTATGTTTCAAACTTAATCTGAAAACTCGACGATTTAAAAGCAATGTACTGCCATTTAGAAAAGCATAAGATATTGATCCTTCAAATTTAATCTATCTCTTATTGGTATACAAACTAAGCAATTTTAAAAACAATAAATGCAGTTCATCTCTATTATTATATTTACAAGCTGGAACCATGAAATTACACTAGCTGGACTAAACATTGTATGTTTGTTCTATTTTTAGTCCAAAAGGGCTATTAGTCTTGAAACATGATTGCGTTGTTTCATTTTTCAACCAAGTCTGTTATCATTCATCAAATGTAAGACATTTGCTTTTCAGATTTTACCTGTCAGCTATTGATAAATAAACTAAGCTATTTAAAAGGAACAGATGTCATTCAGTTATTATTATTTTTTACTTTTGAATTTGATTCGTTAAATAAAACTGTGTTTAGTTCATGATATAGCTAATTAAAAGAATTACATATTTTTTATAGAATTATGTTATATACTTTTTTCACTTTTAAAATATACACAAGACACATAACATTCCCATATAAATTTAAATATATATTCATTTAGTATCATATAATGCCTTGCTATTCCACCTGGTCCATTTCTACTAATAACATATGTGGATAAATCATATTAAACTTTAAAAGAGCCTTTCTGAGCAAAAGTTAAATTCTGAACCGCTTTGAATATTTTTAATTATTTATCTTCATTTGTTTTAATTTTCTGTTATTATAATAACTATTTTAGGCAGCTGGCTGCACAAGTGGCTAGTTATTCAGTATTATCTGTGGTAAGTCTTTGATCATATTATCCGCAAATATGAGAGAACCACTGCAGAAGATAATTTCATTCACACAACAAGAAAGAAGTTTACAACTGATTCAAGTTCAGATAGTTTAAGAATAGTAAAATTCAGTTGAAACTCAGCTAAACTTATAGGGCAGCATTATTAAGGATATTAAGATGTTATACTTATTGTAAAATTAACTAAGAAGACTAAACGAGTAAGCTAGCCCCTTATTTTTAATCTAAATCCACTGAAAAGATTTGCGAATAGTTTAATTAGAATGCAAATTGCTAAAAGGCCGACCAGACAGTATAGTGGTTAGGGAAACCTACTGCGGTACTGCAGGGCCTGGGTTCGAATCCCTGAGAAGGCATGGATGTTTATAAATGTATAGTGTCTTTGCGGCATGGGGACACTTCAGAGTCGTAGCGAGGGTTTTCAGTGCCCACGGACAACTGTAGATTTCGCGCCCTCTACTGCTTGCCAAGGATGGAAAACATTTAATTCTAAAATGTCGTAACATCAGTTTGGCGCCCTTTGGATTCTGCACCTGGGGACAGATGCCCAAACTTTCCCCCCTCTAGCTACGCCCCTGGGACACTCTAAATATATGGCGAGACAAAAGTCCTCTTGTGTGGATAAGTGGTAGGAAAGAGGGGTGGGAGATCTTCGGACCAGCCCTCGGGGTGTTCTCTTTCAAAACTGGGGTGGATATAGGAGTCAAACTCCTTGAGGCCCTGGCAGCCATTCTTTCATGAAATTCATGTACCAAACAACAACAAAATTGCTAAAAAATACAATGCTGTGAAACATAAAAAAGGGGAGATTTTGCATCCTAATTTTCTTTACAAAGGAGTAATGGTACACAAAAATTAAAAAAAAAACAAACTTTCAGAGTACTTTTGAGTTAAAGTGGTCATATCATAAGTCTTTAGTGATGTTGGAAATTTAGACATTACAAATCGGTGGCTGCTTGTAAAAATTTACATTATCTATTTTCACAATGCTAAAAAATTATGTCATGAAAGTTAAAGTGTTTTTTTCTTTTTGATGGGTTTTTTTTTTCCTTCTTTGGGGTTACTCTACCAGTTCCAGTTTGATTCTATGGTGCCTTCAATCTTCTTTTTCGGTGTTCCAATGTCTTCAGCTTCTGCAAGTGTGCAAGTCCTGCACCAATGAACCAATGCAACTAGATTGTACATTTATTAAAGAATATACTATTATCAGATCTCTTCTGAACAAGAAGAAGTAGAATTAAAGTCGTAGGTGTCGATACCCAAGTTCCAATATGGGGGAAAAAAAAAAGTTTAAGGCAGGGTTCAGCTACTAACAACTGATTCATGTGCTGAAGCCATTAAATATTTAATTAACACTATGTGAAGACACTACTATGCTTGGTTGCATTATGGATTATATCAAGCTAGAGATAGCCCATTTAAATTTTTTTATCCTTCTCTGAAACTACTTTTTAATAAGAAAATACTAAAATTTGAAACATAGTGTTGGTTCAGAAGGACATATAAAATATTTAGCTCTTACCTTAATAGGTGACAAAGGCTTGATCTTTGGGACACATTTCACACTTTGCTTCTGGCGTTCATACACCTTTTGCAGTTCTTCTTTTTTCTTTTCATTTTCTTGAATGCGTTTCTTATGGTCTTCCTGTCTCCTTTTCCTCCTTTCCTCTCTTTTTACCTTAATATAATTTCTCACTACATTTACGTCGTAATGTCGTATTTTAGGGGAACGAGCTGTATGTTTAAAAAAAAAAAAAAAAAAAAAAAAAAAGAGGAAAAATATTTTGAACATATCAAAAATGAATAAATTTTAAATAAACTGATTAATTTTACAACTATTACTATTATTAAATGATTTTGTACCAATAAAATAAATTATCTATTGATTTTATGGGCCAATTATCAGTTTTCATTTGAAAACTGAAATTTAATCCAACTAAAATACTGATATTATACAGTTATTCAGTCCCCAAAAGTACCCCAGCACACCATCCCTAAGAATAAATTTTAAAGAAATCTACAATTTATCATTAATGCAGCTTATTTATAGATTTAACTCTTTTGCTCAAGCTCATATTATAAAAGTATGAAATAAACTTGCAGAATTTCCCTGTTCAATGCTAAGGCATAATAGAATTTATTCAATTCCTTGAAAATAAAAGTTTTTAAAAGTATATTAATGTAATGGGGATACTATACTGTCTTATAATAGCATCACAAAGATTTATTCCATTACAGAAATTTAAAATGGTTAAGGTACCTTCATCAAAAAACTAGAGGAAGAAAAGAACAGGGTGGAAAAAATATTTATACAATGCTTCTCTAATTGGATAACTAAAAAAAAAAAAAAAAAAAAAAAAAAAAGTCAAAATTTTATCATCTATACCTCAAAGGGTTCATATGATTACAAAAATTAATATTTGTAAATTAGACATAAGGTTGAAGCCTCACTGCCAGCATCTGGTCTATGATTAATCACTTAGTATTCACATTACTATATAGTACTCAGAAATTTTTTCTACACATATTATCTAGGAACTGCTGATATTTAAGTTTAGTTAAAAATTACATTTGCACATTTGTTTAGAATGGTATTTTAAACAGATAATTTAAACAATCGTTAATTCATGAATCACATAGTTTACAAGAATTATTATCTGATCCATTATGGTTTTAAAAATATTTATGTAAATGCTCTACAAAAGTGAAAATAGATCATAGTTTTAGATTTATGAAACAAAAAATGTTATATGCATCTTAAAAAAAATTAAATTAAACATTCATTAAAAGATTTGGTATTTCCTGACTGTGCACACCCTCACTGAACAGTTGCAAAAAGGCGTTCATGAGGCAATGCAATAAGTTCACCAAAATAACTATATGCAGGCTCACCAGACATCCTGCTTTGCCTGGAACTGCCACAATTTACTAAAGGTCCCTGCATTGTGGGCGATTTGTCATTTTGTTCTGGTTATATGGTAAAATTCTAAGAGTGCAGAATATCATAATATATATGTGGTTGAGGCACTGTTCTTTCAGCAGCTTTGTGAAGAATCTATCTATCTATCTATATATCTATATCTATACATGTTAAGCCTGAAGTTTGGCCAGTTTCCGAATTGGCCAGGGCATGTGGTCAATATCCGATGTACTGGAAATGAATAGCGTATATGCGACTTTGGGCGGCCACTTCCCGAAGTGCCCGGAACTCTCTGCCGAATGTTTGAAATACTGAAGCCATACTGTTCGGTAGGGGTCCAATTCGAAATTCGATAAAAGTTCATCTTGTTGTAACAAGTGATGATACTGATAATTATTCTGTAATAAACTAATTCCGTAGATAATGTGATTATCTTTTTGTTTGTTTGTTTTCTCCAAGGGAGAGGAAATTTTCATAAGAAACCAGGAGGTTTCTGGTACTGGGAGATCCTTACTCACTAAAACTTCTCCCTTCAGACTACAGCCCACCTAGGGCCACCGTACCTCCTTGGCCTTTGTTCTGAAGGACGATACTAGGCACCTAAGAGGGGCGGATTCATTGGAAAACTCCTCTGTGGCATCTATAATGTGATTATCATTAGCATTACGGTACACAAACACCCAAAATTTGCTCATGACCTTTTCCTGCTAACTCTGGCCGATCGCCCCATGCCATTTTGTGAACTGGCTGGCCAAACCCCGAAAACAAGAAAAGATCAGACATTGGCTGGTCATTGTGAGGCGATATTGGCTGTTTCGCGATTTGGCCGGCCAATTCAGAAATTGGTCAACTTTGGGCTTTGGCAATAACATATGTATATATAAACAGATTTTACAACAATATTGATAAATTCGTTTACAGGAAAGAAGAGTTTTAGACTTGGCGAAAACGCAGAAACAGGAATACTGACAAACCATTTATTATCAGCTAAAAAAACTCATAATACAACAGGGGGGATTTTAGTGAGTTAATTGTAATACTAATTCTAGGGATGTTAAATGCAGAAGGAGAAGATGACATTTACAATAGACTGAAGAATGAATTAGAAAGAAGTATTGTTCGTATTGGTTGCAGTGCTCATATCATATACAACTACCTTCAAACTGCAGTTGATGTTCTACCTATTGAAACAGAAGCTTTAGTTGTCAAATTTTATATTTCCACATTTATGCAGTTCAAGTCACTAAACTAAAACAAATCTGTGAATTTCTACATGTAGAATATTAAAAGTTTCTTCTAGCAGCATCTGTTTTCTTTAACTACCTCAGTTATTGACAGAATACTTCAAATCAATGAAGGACTGAAACCGTATTTTATTTGAAAAGAACACCATCCAGCAACACCACCTAAGATGTTGGCAGAAAATCATAGATCTGGTTGATGATTACTACCTGCACTAAATGTTATTGCTTTCATGTTTTGTTTTCTTTTTTTCTAACTTTATTATGAATGTTTTTTGGTGAAAAACTTTCATTACAACCAGGTATTAATGCCATCATACAAGTGTTCACAACATTGGGCTACAGGAAAACAGTTTGGAGTAGAATCTTTTATTTGGATAAACAACAGTGAATCAACATGGTCTGAATTTGAAGCTTTATGAGAAGGGAACAAAAATTAAATAAACTGATGCAAATAATGAAATAAACATGGACTACTTTTTTGATAAAGCAGTGATTGCAGAAGCTTTCTGGATAGCTAATTATGAAATTTAGGAAAACAAAAGTTGTGAAAAAAATGGATAAAACTTTTCAGTCATTTCAAATTAGAAAAACATTTTATTACTCATTCTTCTTTAAACAGAATGCATTCTCAGAATTCTGGGCACATCCGCACCAGTTGCAAGAGTATTCACAATAATGATTATGGTCTGAAGAAAGAGGCAGAAGGGCTGAATCACCTGTAAAAACTTTACTAAGCTTCAAAATTAAGACCTATATTGCAGTGAATTTTCCAATGCTACTAAATATAATAAAGACTTCTTAAAGAAAGTTCACACTAGGGATAAACACTAATAAGATCTTAAAAATAAGCTATGTTCAGTTGAGTTATTAAATTGTTCTTTTAACTTATTGTTGTTTCTTATAAATAACTTCTTTGTTGTTTATTATAAATAACTTTATTGTTAAAATACTAATTCTTTAGCCTTTTCAATCACTGGTACTTATCCACTTATCTGAGCAGGGTTATTTTCTAGTCTATTCTATTTAAACTATTTTTAAGTACTCATGAATTTGCACTTTTGAAATTCAACCGTAATATTTCTTATTAGTGTTTCTTTTTGTACTTTATAATAAATCGTAATTTTAATATGGAGTTTGCCAGCTGATGAAAAAGAAAGCGCTGTATTTCTGCAGAAATATAAACATTTTGCTCAACAACAGACCCCACAAAATTTCGCATTCTATGAAGTTATCTTTTTTAAACAGCCAAATTTTATGCAAAATCAGAAAAACTGCAAGCAAAGTGTTAGAATGCAGGTCGAATATTGGTTTGAAGATACCCATATTTCATTTAAAACAGCTATTTGTTTTATTTATTGCTGCTGATGCACAATGCCAAACCTGTACATCATGAAGAATTTGGGCAATTTTCTGATTTTTTTAGCAAAAACATCCCATTGTGTACATTGGGAGAAAAACAGAGCAAAACATTTACGGAAAGATTTCTGACATTTCTTGTTTTTTAAATTTTATTGAATGCTCTTTTACGGAATTCTCTTAGCAAGCAATTATTTTAAAAATGGTTCATTATCTGCAAATTAACTTTACAAAAAATTAACTGCAAATGAGTTCGTCAATGCTCTCTAAAGTCACCAATGAGTTTCTGACTTTTCAGCAGTAATGCAGATAATCAGGATGTACCAAAAATTCAAATAATGGACTATTTCTAATTGCAAAGCATAAGTATTAAGACTGGATCTAAAGATAAGCATAATAGTTTTCTGGATCTAAAGATCTGACACTTAAACTAAGGCGGATGAATACCCTAGTAAATACCATTCTCTGTTAAAAAAAGAACATGAATTAAGTAGTTGGCTGATATATCAGGATTAAACAATGACAATTATTTTAAAACAAATAGCAATAATATTTAGCAAATATGATATTTAAAATTAAAAATTAAATATAAAATAACAATTCGTTGAAAAACCAAAAATATCAAATATAAATCATCTGCCTTAACACAGTTAATAATTGCATATGCCTAAGCATAAATATGTTATAAGAAAGCAATTTGCAAAATGATTTTTGATACAGAAATATTTTATTTACACTATATCAGAATAATTTGTTTTAAGACCAGATATGCAAACTGGCATGATTTTGTATAACTAAGATTAAAACAACACATGGTCATTAAAGCTATACAACAATGATATATTAGAGAGAGAGAATAAAGATATAAAATAAGAATTAACTTTTAATTGACAGAAAATTTGAGCAGAGTTAAAAGTATTATTAATGTAAAAAATTACCAATATCTGGTTCTTTAAGAGCTTTCCTTTTAAAACTTTGAAAGGAACTTAAAGGTTTGATATTCTCTTTCTTTTCACTGGTTTCAATATTAAGCTCTGCAGAACATTCAGATGCAGTTTTACTACCAAAATTTAATGATTTAAGCATCTTGAGTGCATTCGAATTCTCATCAATTCTGTCATCAGACTTTGCTGGAAAAAAAAATTAAGTTAATATCATTGCAACATATTATAACTAAATGAGCTTTCGTTTAAAAACTTGCCTATTATTGCAATCAAAACTTCATTACCTGATAAACCTGCATTTCATAACATTTCAGTCATACGTAAAAATTATGCTATCTCTAATCCAATCTACCTATGTAATGTATTTTCAGACTTCTTATTACTTTTGCAAAATAGCAGCATTCTGCAACATCTCACAAAAGCCAAACTGTATATGATTTATTCACATATTTTTATAATTAAAGCTATAAAAGTATTCATCAACCAGCATGTCTGCTAGAAGAGTGCTACTCATTGCCATTTGTCTCTCCAGCCTTCAAATCCCTTCTAAGGATTGTGTCCAAAATTCTTTCTTTCCTCCCTCATATTCATTCCCTGGTGTCATAAGAGGCAGGTGCAATGTTATTACAATCTTAATCTATACCTTCCTTGGAAAGGAATTTTTCCAGACATATAAGTTTTTAAAATTCTACGAATTGTCAGTAATATATAAACACAATGATTACCTCTTATCACTGACAATATGCTACAATAAATTTCTTAAAAACTTCCTCTCACTGCATTTCTGATGCTGAAACAGATTCATAAAGTTTGTTGTTTTTTTACATATAAACTAAGCACTACCTTTTTACACATATAACATGCTTTTCCCTCTCAGGCCACAAATACATTTACCATTAAAGTTATTTATATAACATAATAAGACTTATAAATCATCACACTGATTACTTTAAAACATTCTTAACCATTCTAAATCTGCTAAATAAATCAAAAATAAGACCTTTCTGAACTAACAAATACTGGAGTGAGGAGGGTTATCCAAGGATCTGACAAATACTAACTGAAAACAACTGAAAAGTAATCATCCTAGTTACAACCGTTTACCATGGGACAATAATATAAAGTTTAAAAACAATTGATAATATCCATTCCTAAACATATTTAAAAATAACTCAAACAGCAAAGTAAACTGAAACAAATTCTTTTGAAATCTAATATACAAAATAAATTGCACTAAATGACAAAAGTATGAAGTTCAACAATTAACATAAGATAATATAAAATGCAACACAAAATAGTAATGTTTAAGTTGAAATACTTTATTGCATTTATATTAAAGATTTCCACTTAAGCAGTCAGCACTTTTGTTCGCACTTCTTTTCCTGATGCACAACTTGGTATTTATAAGGCTGAAGTACAAGTGTCTGTTGCACGAGTCATAGGTTAGTTCCACTGGTCTTTAACCAAATTAAAAGACTGTTATCTGTCATAATTTGAAACTTTATCCAAGTAGCAACTGAAAGTCTTGTTTATCAGCATTTTGGGCATTCTAGGTTTTTCTTTTAACTTAAATTTCTTTCATTTTCTCGTCAGATAGATCTCTACATCTTTTTAATCTATTTATCATCTGAAAAATACATTCTACTATGGTATTTTCTTCTACTCTTGGCTCCAGACATTTCTCATGCAATTATGTAATGGGAATTTTAAGAATTTTTCCTTCCTTCTACAGGGCTGAATCCGGTAGTTTCGTGAGTGGTGTTTAGAAAGCAAAAAGAGCTGCGGGTGCTTGTTTTTCACATTCAGGAACAGTTTCAATGCACAAAACTCTTAAAATCCTTTATGAGATGCGATGGAACCTTTTTGCTAGATTACTTTGAGGATAGTGAACAACGCTTCAAGTTATCTTTATTCCAAAACATAATATTCATCATGCAGAGTATCAACAATGGCTACAGAGCTCACTGCACTAGAATGTTTGTTTGCTATACACATCGGAGTTATGATGTACGTCTTTCTTGCGAAAGTTGTTGGCAAAGGTCCACATGCATCAACATTTATTTTGGCAAAGATTTCTGATATAATCAGAACCAGAGTTAAATGAGCCTTCTTCTTGTCATTGGCAAGAATCATGTGTTTTGATTAACTGTTCTAATTCCTTATAACACCTCGGCCAACAGAAATATTTTGCTAAGTGTCCTTTCAATTTTGGCACACTAAGATGGCCACATGAACCATCATGACATTTTTACCTGCTCCCTTAAATTTTCAGAAATAACTAATAGATCCCTTCACTGACCATTCTGACTGATTTTAAATCTAAAATACTACTTTTAATCAGAGTATAATCAGTGGATTCTTTTGACTTGCCTTCAATTTCCTTAAACACAAGCATTAATTCTTCTCTTACATATTGAGCTTTCGTGAGATCACTTGAATTTACCTTAGCTAGACTTAAAATTGATTCATCTAAGGTTCACCTGAGAAAGCAAAATTTGCATATCTGTTTATGAAGGATCTGAGGTTCCTTCTTCCTTAGAATTCCTGTCATTATGAACTGAATTATGACTTTCCTTTTCCATTTATCTTTGTCACTGCAGTGCTTTACTTAAAACAGAACTGACTAGCTCAGTATTTGATAGCTTGCTTTTTTCAGCACCTGCTAATAAAGCTGTAGTTTGATTTCCGAGTAGATAATTTTCTTTATCAAGGTTATGCCTTATCACTGTTATTTTTGTGATGACTAATTTGTAGTTTACATGTTTACATACGTGTTCACCTGTCACCATATCAGGTATCACATATTTTCTGCAAATGACATCAGCAGTTGCTTCAGTATCTCTAAGTATTGGTATCTTAATTCCATTTATTTCTCCCTTTAGAGTATATGCAGCTAAGAATTTGTCTTCAGAGTCTTTGTTTATACAATTTATTAATACCCTAAATTATGGATTTACATTTTTGGCACTATGGACAAAAGTAATCAAATGATCTACAAAAACCTGTTTTTGTGTATTTCTGCTTTTATTTATAATTTAAATAAAAGCAAAAAGCAAATTTAGAATTTTCATTTGCTAGAATTTCACCCAATCTCTATTTCTTTACAGAGACTAAAAAATAAAACATTAAATGCAAACATTCCTATTGACTAATATCATAATTCTGTGTTAATATTTACAGCATATTATACACTTTTCTTTATTTCTTATAAATTCTTGTTATAAAATGACTGATGGTATCTAATATACGAATATTAATTCTATTTCTCTACACAGTTTGTTTGACTTAATATTTAATCTAAACAGTCAATCTATTTAATTTTAAAAGCACAAAAATTATGTGAAACTCTTTTGAGTTTACTACATGATGATACATAGCCAGCCACTATGAAGTGCTAGAGTTACAATATAAACAGGTATTCCATGATATACATGAAGATGAAGTTTTCATGCTGATAAATGACTGGCTGAAAAACAAACAATTTGCAGCTTTTTCAGAAGTAGGACTAATGGTTATGCGTCTTTCTTTCAATGGTAAATCTGAAAAAAGAATTTCTTCATAATAGTCGGCTGTCCCATATCCGGAAATGTCTGACAGTGCTTTAAAGCAATCTCCACGATTAATTAAAAATATTTCTATTAATCATACTCTCTATACTTTTATAGGTCTTAATTAAACACACCACACTTTTAAAATACAGCAATTGCAACAAGATTATCAATTCAATAGATATGAATTTGATCATTCAATATACAATATTTATAAGATTTTATATATTGAATAATCAATGTACAAAAATATACACAAATTTTGCATAATTCAATATACAGGACCATATATTATATTAACTTTAAAGAATATCATTTTAATTTAACTCTCCGAGTGTTACTGGTTTAGCCCTGAAATTTCAAACTGCCTCAAAATGTCATGAATAAGTGGTATTTTCTTGATTTTAATTAAAAAATGATTTTCTCATTTTGTACCTTGATTCCTTTTCTTCCAATATACATCCAAACTGAAATTAGATACATTTGAAGCTAGCAGAAATTTTCATGTATAATGAATATAGAAGGCAGCCTTCTATAGGGAATTTTCCAGCCGTAACACTAAGAGGGTTAAACAAATGATGATATAGATCATATTAATGAGTGTTATGTATTAATTGTTATTATTTTTAAAGCTTTAAGTTATTTGCTTACTTAACAATCTCGTTGTTAGGTGATGTGTGCACCACGTTATTTTCATTTTTGTGATAAATGCCTATTGACGTGGTGTTCACGTCGCTCGCAGTTTGAGACAAAAGCATCTTGACGCGTGTGGCACGTGTTTTTAGTGCAAGTGGTTAAACTGTAAACTTTTGGTAAACTTTAAATTTTTCAGTTGGTAGCTTTAAAAGTTTTCTTGAGTTGAAGTTATTTAATTTTAATTTGAGTTTAGGGACTTAAAGTTTTATTTGGTTTTGTAAAGTTTGTTTTGATCCTTAAGGTTACGTAACTTTAAATTATTTAAAAGTTTTTAATTTAGAGTTTGGTTAACGTCTACACCTCTTTCTGCTAGTCTTTTGAATCAATAATTTCTGGTTGTAAGGTGTTGAAGAAATATAATTTTTTAGTAATATTAATTAAGGTTTTAATCAGCTTTTGTGTTAGTTGAATTTTATTATTTTTTTAAGTAAAGTTAATTATGTTAGTCATTTTGTATAACTATGGTAAATTTGGATAACTAAAAATAGGTCTCTTGGATTTGATTCTGTGTTAATGAGATTTTAATTTCATGTATTGAATGTTATCTCAATTTAAAAATAGAAATTATGAATTTAACTAACGGAAATTCATATGCTTTTGTACAGAAAATTTGTGCCTTTCTGGTGGAATTATAGGTTTTCGCTTAGCTTAATTGCTTGAGAAGTTATTCATAACTAAATGTATATTTTAGCAGAAATGGCACAGATTTCCTGACTTCGAAATTTTCACTTAGAAGGGCAGTTTTTTAGCTTCCAGAGCTGAGTTTTGATAGGCGATGAATGTTTACACCTACACATTTCCGGAGGGGTGAGCATTCCTGGGAAAAAGGTTAGTTGCCTTAAAATGTTTTTTTGGCGAGAAAATTTAAAAAATTGAATTATTCTTGGAAAAATTTAGAAATTTTTATATGGTTTTGTTCTTGGCGTGGTTGCAGATTTTTCTCATCTCTTTTGGGCAAGTTTTGGGGAATGTGGAAGTTTTCCGGTTTAAAAACTCTTGTGCGCTTGTTAGAGGCAGGTTTTCCCAACAAAAATTTCTGAGACGGAGGAGTGCCGGAGATGAAAAGAAATGTTGCTGCGAATCTGTTTTTGCTCTTACCAGTTCCAGCATAATTTAACTCCAGCTTAGGAAGTTCACTACCGAGAACTTTGTTTCGACCTCTTCTGATTGCCAGGATGGAGTCTATTGCCTCGAATCATCTGTTACCTATAGTAAACTCTCTGCGTGAAGTCTAGTGAAGTTCGCCGACGTGTCACCCCAGTGAAGCTTTCGAAGTAGGCTTAGTGCGGATGGACGGAGCCAAAAATTTCTGATGTTTCCCTCCAGTGCAACGGCCGCACTACAGATTGCCGACTTAGACGGTAAGCCTGATCAGCGAGATACCCGTTGTCGAATGCAGATGATCTGAGCGTCCTGTTTCGGGAAGAACAGTAACAGAAGATGTCTAAAAACCAGGAGGTAATGTTACTTAAATTTTCCTTTAGAGATGAGGACATTGGCAAACAGTGCCGACCCCTATTTTTTTATCAACCACCAATAATTTTATTCTTTTACAGTGAATTAATATTAAGTGTATCTTTAATGAATGATCATTATTGTTAATTTCAAATTTAAATTGATTTCTAACTTCTATTCCTCCGAAGGAATAGCCTTGTCTAATTGCAATGAATTCTATATTAAATAAATCAGCTTACCTACTATTTTGTTGTGATAATTATAATACTTACTACATACACTTTCTCAACCAGGCTTGTAGCACATTTTGATTACATAATGCAATTGGTTTAACCTTTTTTACGTTATTTTGATATTGTTGTTGGTGTTCTTCTTAAGGTAATTAAAAGGCAGGTTGTGCACCACTTCAGTTGATTTATTTTATTTAAAAGTGAGGAAAATTATACACCACAACATAAGATGAAGTTTCTAGATTTTGCAACATTTCCCCATTCTTTCTGTATAATTTTCAAGGAAAGAACACGAAGTCCTTATGTATTTAAAACCCATTTACTTTTAACCTTTGTAGTTGGAATTTTATTTTCTTCTCATGAAGAGGAGAAATCATTAACAAATATATAAGGTGTTTTTCAAAATTTAGGTTCAAGGGTTTACAAAATTTAGGTTTTCACAACTACAAACATTTTTTGACATAATATTGTTATTCATATATCAAATTATGAAAAATAAATCTAATAAAAGAATAGTTAATTCAAAATCACCATTACCCTGGACATCCTCTGTTTTTGATTCATCTTGCTTATGCTCAGAACCAGTTATTTCTGATGGATCAGACTTGGAAATAATTGGATGTGAATAAGATGATGATTCTTCACTGGTGGAAGATGTAATTTTTGATTGCTTTTCATTATTTGTTTTGAGCATACCGTCTGAAATATTGAAATAAAAAGTTATAATAATGATATAATTAAATAACATGAAATTATATATTCTGACAGGAAAAAAACATAAAATATGTTAAAGAAAGAAAATGAATATACTGGCTTTTAAAAGGCAGCATACTGCATTCTTTTAAAATATTAAGTAACACAGATATTTAGTGTAATGCACTTTTTTTTTTCTTTCCAATTCTATATAATACAAAACGAAAAATTATTATTTTTGGAAAAAGCCAAAAATCAAAATGAAAGAGTACATCAAACTATTCAAATGCCTCTAATTACTAAATATGAAGTCTTCTAAATGTGATTTCTTGCCATTGCTTGTAAGATTTATCCATTCTTATATAATGAAATGACCTACATTATCTTACAAATGATGATAGTAAATGCTAAAAAATGTTTTCCATATGATAATAACACCCCAGTTCATGTTCCTATTGCTTCTGCCAATAGCTATTACTTCTATTTGCATATTTTATCAGAAAAAAAAATAACTATGATACTAATCAATAGTTGGACCCCCAAATCAGCAACAGTAGCCTTATCTCAACTGCCAGCCTAACAGAACTTTTTTGCCTGTAAACATAACATTGTAGAGGAATAGCACATGCATGATGTTTACCAAATCACAATACGAGAACTACAATTTATCTCGTAGTTTGCAGTTAACATGTTAAATAAGCTTATGAACAAATCCATAGCATCTACTTTAGAAACTGGGATGTAGCCAAACCCTTAACCTTACACACAAATGTGCTCTTGAGAGTCCAAAATGCCCAAGAGAATAATCACCAAACAATAGACAAATTAATTGGCTGCAAAACTTTTGGTGCCAAGGAGCCTTTTAAGTGATACCTGAGCTAGAATTAACTCTGTGCTGCTGTGCCTGAATGAGTTATAAATTTTGATACAATATGCATCAAACTCATTAAGTATGATAACCATCCTTTAATGAAGTACACTTATTTGCCTCAAGTTATAATAAAATCTAATTAAAAGTACAGTAACTAATAAAATAATGATATGCTTTTTACTAATATCAATTTGCATGCAAGATCTTCCATAATTATACTGAAAGATTTTACACTTAGGTTCGCAGTTGATTAAAATATATTTGCCTCATCAAAGCCAATAATATCCTGCTAGACTTAGGATATCTATAATAGGCTTCACTTAAAATCATGGGTGAGGTGCTATCAGATTTACCAATTTTGGTTACTTTATAGACTAACATATTTTGTATTTCAGTCTTACACATTTCATACTGTCAAGGTGACATTTTCGTACAGTTTTGTTTTAATAGGTTTGCTTTAATAGATCACTTATTAATTCTATATTATGCCTAACTATAAGTATTCTTCCAGGAAGGTTTGAAAATACCTCAGAATACCAGCATAACACTACTTGTACCTGATCTACTTGATCATTCTGTTAAGTCATTAAAATAAAAAATATTCAGACCTGTTTAGATTTTAGGAAAAGTGTTCTCTATTTCTGTATCATTCACTTTTATGATCAATATATATATATATATTTTTTTTTTTTCAATTCCTCTTGGTCCTTTCTATTAGATAGCCAACTTATTTGGTCTGCTAGTTGCTAAAACTAACATCAAATCATCTGCTTGAAATTCATTTTTACCAGCATTTTGGTCATATCAGGTTTTTCTTTTAATTTCAGCTTCTTTCATTTTCTGAGCTAGATCTCTACATCTTTATAATCTACTTAACAGCTGAAAAACATAGTCTGCTATGGTATTTTCTTCTGCTCCTGGCTCCAGCTATTTCTCATGCAGTAATGTAATAGAAGGTCTAAGCTTTTTTTTCCTTGCACTGATTCTGCAGGACTGAAGCTGGTAGTTTCATGAGTGGTGTTCAGAAAGCAAAATGAACTGCAGGTACTTGTTTCTGCCATTCAGAAGCAGTTTTAATGCAGAAAACCCTCAAAATTCTTTACAAAATATGATGGAACCTTTTTGCTGGATTACTCTGAGGATAGAGAACAAAGCTCCAAGTTATATTTTTTACAAAGCATTCAAGAAATTCAACTGTTAGTGCATGCATAAATGAAGTTCCTTGATCGGTTTGAATTCCCTTTAGGAGCACCATGCATCTAAATATTTCCAGGAGAGTACAGAGCTTTCATCAATCACTGCCACAGCATGGAATGTTTAACTGCTAAACACATAGCTGCTATGATGTATCTCTTTCCTGTTAGAGTTGTTAACAAAGATCCACATGCATCAACATTTATTTTGGCAAAAATTTCTGATATAATCAGAACCAGTGTTAATTGAGCCTTCTTCTTGTCATTGGCAAGAATCATGTATTTTGATTAACTGTTCTATTTCCTTATAACATCTCAGACAACAGAAATATTTTGATAAGTGTACTTTCAATTTTGTCACACGAAGATGGCCAGATGTACTCTCAAGACACATGATTTTGATCTGCTCCCTAAAATTTTCAGGAATAACTAACAGATCTCTTCACTGACTGACTTTTTAACTAAAATATTACCTTTAATTAGAGTATAATCCACGGATTCTTCTGACTTGCCTTCAATTTCCTTAAACAGAAGAATTAATTCTTGTAAATTTTTATCCACACATTTAAGATCAGTGATATGAACATTCATTTCCATTTCCACACTTCAGACCACATAAATTTCTATTACAAATTTCAGTTACCAGGCAGTGCTAATTTAAGTTCTTAATATCAAAACTTTCTTTTTTTTTTAATTTTAAATATAAATATTTGGATAGTTTTGTTAGAACATATGTAATTATTTTTTCTTCTCAAAGACTGTTCGAAGTTCTTTAGATGAAAACAGATCCTATTGTCTATTGAATCATTTTTTTTTTTAATCATTTCCAGTGTGTTAAATTCTTACCTTCATTATGCAGTTCTGGACCCAATGCTATTCGTTAAGCAGAAAAGTACTATTGTGTTTATAATGACTATTTTAACAATTTTAACAGAAAAACAACATAATGTGTTCAAAAGTATTATATAGATCAAGAAAAATTAAAGGCTTCTGTTTCTTAATTAAACGGAGTTTGGAGAGTTTAACTGTTTAGCAATTAAAAGGAAACTGGTCATATTAATTATTAAAACAGATATTATAGTTATTATACATAATAATTAACTCAGTTATATTAAATTTACCATATATCTTTTATTATTTTCTCAGTGAAATTTACCTAAATGCTAAATGGCTACCACACACACACACACACACACACACACAAAAAAAAAAAAAAAAAAAAAAAGGTCTCCCTTTTCTCTGCTTGACTATTTTTTTATTACTTGATAATTATTTGTTCATAATATTTTAGTAACAGCCCATTCCTATTTTATTTACTTACAGAGCAAAAAGAAAGTTTTTCAAAATAAAATTTTTAAACCATATTAATTTTTTCATAATGTTTAGAGTCCAATTTTCAAGTACTTTTGATATAAATAAGAATGAAGTTAAAGCAAACGGCTCTCTTGCACATTACTAGAATTAAATAATCCAGTCCAATGTTTCAAATTGCATACTGAAAGATAAATTTTGAAAGGGTGTGCTTTAAAAAGTAATAGTATTTAATTAAAATCACCACTACACTACCTGAGATTTCCTGATTTTTTGGTTCATCTTGCTTAAGCTCAGAAATACTGTTTTCTGAAGTATCAGCCTTAGAATTAATTGGATAAGGATTAGAACGCAATTCCTCACTTGTGGGAGACACAACTTTTGACTCTTTTTTATTATCCTTTTTTAATAGATCATCTGAAATATTTAAATAATAATAAAAACATAACTAAATAATATGAAATTAAATATAATGACAAAAAATTTAAAATACTTATTTCCAAAAAGTTATGTTTCAATATAAAATTACAATTGTAATATATATAATCATATGAATTATACAAGGAATATGACTCAATTCCCTAATCTATCATTTAACTCATAATTTTAACAGTAATAAAGCTATTTCAATGAAATTTGAACAGGACTATCTAGTCTTGTTCAAAGAATGTATAAGAAATGAAAAATTGTATAAAAAATGAAAAAATTTTAAGAGGTGATGCCTAACTCTTACAAAATGAAGTAAAATTTCACCAGTCAACCAGAATATCTAGATGCTTGTCTGTCATTTCAGAAGCCTATGCTAGTCTCACTTTGTCATTTGCCTGAGGATACCTAACATAATACGGTTGATATTCATCAATACTAGAGTGTATGTGTGTGTTTATAGGATAACTGGAAAACATATTGGTGTACTCTAGACAAGTGTTTCTCCACTGTCGGTCCGCAAAATATCCAGCTATCTGTCCAAAAACTGTGCCAATGTGTCGAATTATTAAACTAACCGGTCTGCGGGAACGTACCAAAATAACACCAACAGCAATTTCAACAGCAATGACACTAGCATTTTCTTGAGAAATCTGCAGGCAAACATTTTCCATCTGAACTCTTCTAACTTTATTAATACTTTCTAACTTTATTAACATTTTTTGGCAGAAAACTTTCGTTACAATCAGATATATACATATTTTTTTCTGATGATAAAAGGAGAATTGTGAATTCATGAAATGTATTAATCCTCTTAAGAAAAATTAAAACTAAAGGGAGAGAACCAAACTTTGATAAACATTATGGAATTTTAATAGGCTTTAAAGCATTTACTTTTAGAATAACTAAATAAAAACATATCATATGGGAAGATTATAATAGCTTCCATAAAAGATTTTAAAAAAGATTTTCCCCTCTAACAGATAATAAATTAATATATTTCAACAGTTAAAATGAAAATGCATTACAACTATTATTTTTATAAATATTATACATAAGCAACAGAAATTTCTGGTATCTAAAATAAATATATTTAAAAAAGAGGGAAAAATCAAAACCACAATAATATGTTAATTTAGAAGATATGCTAAAATCAAATTAAGCAGTAGGTATTGTAAATTTTTGTTTTGGTTTATTTTGAAAGGAGGAGAAAAGAAAATTAGAATTTTCAACTAAAGCTTAATTAACAGTCAAAGAATTCATGAAAATATGTATGTATGTGTATGTTCATGAAAATATGTATGTATGTGTATAAGCGTGTAAACATGTATAATAATTGTTTCTAAACTACGAAACTGTACATATGCTGAAAGAGAAAATTTATAACAATTATCCATTTTCATAAAGGAAAACTCACCATCATTTTTCCTTTTGACAGTTTTCCTTATTCTTTTCAGTGAAGACTTTTTAGCTAAATAAAAATTAATTAATATAAAATGGTCACATTTAAACTCTGTAAAGTTACTTTTTTATACATATATAGGAACACTTTTATGTTACATATATATTAAAAAGTAAACTGATTAAATAATTAAATATGTAAATCAAGATCATCTTGTAAGAGATATAGTACATATAATTTCTCAATACCAAAACTAATGAATCATGCAAAATCATAAATTACTATTACTCAACTTTACGTTATTATATTAAAAAGAAATAAAATTAAATTAATAAAAATTTATATTATTAATATAAAAAGAAAACTTCTAGGAACCAATTTTGAATATTTCATGTATTATAAGGGATAATATGGATATATATATATATATCCCTCTTATTTTATTTCAAAAACGGCACTTATGTATTATCCTAGCAGACGTGAAATTTGGCTACATCAAACCATGAAATTTGGAGGACACTTCTTCAAAGTTGAGCCAATTGTCCCTGCAGAATTCTACAGAAACTGACACTTCTTTATTTAATAAAAAATCAGTACTCATCAAGGCTTTCATCAAGTAAAAAGGCTTTCATTGATTTTCATTTTGTTAGGTCTTACAAAGCTATGAATAAAAAGTTCCAGCCAGAAGTTGTTTTAATTTATTATTGCTTTTTGTCAGCCATATTTAGTTGATCATATGATGTCAATTAATTTATACTTTTTTTTAAGGTAGTATGCCATAACTTTGAAAATAATCCACTGCTTGCTGTTCTTTAGAAGGCAGGTCTAAATTTTAATAATTTATTTCAAAATGCAAGAAAAAATACAGCAATAATAGTTCATTCATATTTTTGTTCATAAAAAGCCAAATGTAGCTTATTGACAATCAATCAGCATGCATCAAACAAAAGTGATAATGTTATAAGATTGTTACAATAACCATTATGTCACACATTTCACAACTGTTATGAAATCATGCTGTTTGGCAATAGTGTCATGGTCAATGGGATAATACATAAGTACCAAAAGTAAAATAATAATTTTTTTTTAAAAATGAAACATAAATGGCAAAAATCTGTGAATTACTTAAATTTGTCATGTGACTAATTACAAAGCTTGATTAATAAAGTTATTAAAGCCTTTCATTATTTTTAATAAATCCATATTGCAGAACTATATCAGTCACATACCCTCAAACAGCTTTTATTAAGCAGATTAGCAAGAGGTCTGGTAACAATAGAAAGTTTGAAAGCAATGTGGGCTGTTTTTTAGCTAGAAAAATGTGAATAAGACATTAGAGTATCATCATATATCAGGATTTAGTTATCAGTTGGTTAATGCTCTGGATACTTTACACAAGCCTACAATAATACTCACACACGAGATTTTTTTTTTTTTTTTTTTTTACCAGAGCAGGGATTCTTTTTTTTTACCATAGCATGTTATCAAATGAGTTCATAGTGAGTCATTTTTTCCAAGTGAAGAGTAATCCACCATAATTTGGAATTTCCAAATGGTCCATTTAAACATTTTCCTTTTCAAAGGTTTTTGTCAAGTGTCAAAAAAGGGAATATTTTGATTAGAAAATTTTCAAGGAACAAAAAGATTCTAAATTTTTTCACCACAGAGTGTTGATGTTACTGAATTAGTGATGTCAGCCTACATGGGATTAGATGAAAGCAACACATATTACTGCTTATTGATACAGTACAAAGTCTGAGATCTGGACGTCCAGTATTTGGAATGATATAAAATCCAAACCTCAAAGCTATTAACAACTTTTTTTTTTTTTTTTTTTTTTTTTGTGTGTGCTTTATGTATGCGCATTTGATTTTCTCCCCATGATAAAACATATGGAGAGTTTTGATTCTTAATTTCACTTCGGTACTAAATAAAATACCTCATTATTCAAGAAACATAAGCATAAATTATTTGCATGATCACTAATTTGGCTCCCTGATGCCAACCTTGGGAATCATTATTATATTTTGCTTTCATCACTGCATGTGTATCAATACATAATAACTTACACTGTTAAAGACTCATGCAGCAATGCCTAAATAATTTTTTTTATATTAGTAATTGAACAGCAAAAAATATGGTAACCTTTTATGCTGAAATTACACTTGGCAATGATTACAGATTTAAGTTAAATGCACCAAGAATTGTTGATGAGGAAGAATTAAGCAAAAATTTCTTTCCATGTGCTAAAAATAGATTTTGTTAATGACACTCATAGTCAAAAAGATTACATTTAGTGTTATTTAAATTAAGAATAACTGATTTGTTACTCACATAAACCAAGAACCGCCACCAGAGCTTGTATGGCCGCACTGGGCTGCAGAATTTAGGAAAGACAAAATGATTGGAATTTAGAGAAGCACAAAGGAACAAAATTAAGGGATGACAAAATTTTTAGAATTTAGGAAAAGCATCAGGACCCAAAATTTAGGGGCAGCAAAAATTTGGAACTGAAGGAGACACTTGGTAGCAGAATTTAAGACTCTCAGATACTGCATCTGGTGGTAAGATATCAAGCGCCGGCCCTCGATAAGCCTTAAGTATATGTGCAAATTTATTTACCTAGGACTCTGCTATGCCTTAAGCATTTGCAAAAAATGAGTATAAATTAGAGAATTAGTATAATAAATAAGTAAATTAATATAATTCAGGCTTAAATGCTTCAGTGCATGATAGAAGCAAGACAAAACTGAGCGGAGAACTTGTCTTTTGTCATCAGTCTCATGATACATCACCAATAATGCATAGTGTATGTTATTAAGCTAGGCTAAAATTACACTTTCCTGATTCCAAGGAATTTCAGTTAATACAGCAGATTGCCCTGTTCGTTAACTTTCTCATTTGATCCAGCTTATTACATTTTGTAGGCTGTTTTTATTACAGAAATTTTATGAAAATTAAAGTTTGAACTTTTTTTATGTCAAAAAGAGTTCCTATTTCTGGAGCTGCAAAAGGATCTACAAAGCGAAAGCATGTTTCAATGTCCATTAAACAAAAAGTGGAATCGCTGCAAAAAATGGATAAAGGCATATCCGTCTCAAAATTATGCAAAGAGTATGGCACTGTAAAGTCCACTGTATATGACACAAGAAAACAGAAAAAGGAATTTTTAAAATGTTTTGTGATTCTGACATCTCACTCACAATAAATAACAGAAAAATTATTTGTTGTGCTAGAAATGGTGATCATGACAAAGTGATGATTGTATGGGTCAGACAGCATCACAGCGAGGGTGTGCCATTGACAGATACACTGCTAATGGCTCAATCCAAGATATTTCATGAAGAAATGAACTTAAAATCTGAGTGTACATATTCAACAGGTTAGTTAACCAAATTTAAAAATCACCATGGTATAAGGCAATTAAAACTTTCAGGTGAAAAAGCTTCAGTTTATTACTTAGATCCCAATCACATTATGTTTCGGCTATGCGGGACTTGACGTCGAAAGGGACAATTCTAAGAACCCGGACAATTCTAAGCACTCGCACAATTCCAGGAAACCCACGTAGCTAGGTTACCATTCTCGCTTACTACAAAGACTTGAACGGCAAACAGTAATCGATTATCGCTCAAATCGGGATCACGTCATCCTTCAGAAGCAGAACTTTCATCTGATTGGTTGTCTCTACCTGGGACACGAGACATTTTTGGTGAGGTTTGAAAATATCCCCGCATAGCCGCAACATTTCTTCTGTAGCTAGGTGGGATTTCGCTTCAGGTGGTGCTCTTTTTTCTAGGAATCTTCCCGTTTAAACCAGTGCTATCAGAATCTCATTTCTCAGAAAAGTCCCGTCTGGCAGGAACTGTAGCCATGTGTGATAACCTCTTTATACTAAAGCTAATAAACCATTCGCAGATGAATTCATTGAACTCATTCATAGTGAAAAGTTATCTCAAGAACAAATTTACAATGCTCGCAATATGTACTGTGAAATATCTTGGCAACCTCTACAGAAAAGGTTTCAACTGGTGTTAAAGATTCCAAAGCGAAACTAACAATTTTAGCATGTGCAAAGATTGCATTAAGACACAAGTATAAACTTTTCATAATTGGAAAAAATACACGACCTCAAGCACTTAAAGGAGTAAAGAATTTCCCCATTATAGATCATGAAAATAGAACACCATGGATCACACAAGTGTTAATGAATGATTGATTTGAAAATCATTTCATAGCCAAATTGTGGCAAACATTTGAATTCGGTTTGTTTACCTATGATGCAAAGAGTGTTCTGATCAGCTCAAACTTCATTTTAAGTTTCAGAGAAAGCTAATGTATACGTATTATTCTTGCTTCCAAACTGTACGCTCATCTTTCAGCTTATGGATATCATAACAGTGTGTGCGCTGAAGTATCAGTTTTAAAATCCATGTTAAATTTCTTGAATAATAGCGAGAGTGTCCAAGAACTTTTGGAAATATTTTTGCATAAAATATGCTGTGTGGAGCATCGCAAGATCCTGGGAGGATGTGTCTCCAGATACTTTAAAAAATGCTTGGCATAATTTATGGCCAACTACCATATTTCATGGTGAGAATGGTGAAGGTAATACCCATGAATTTGAAGGTGTTTGAATATTACAAACCATTAAGTGAAATTGTCCAATTAAAGAATTTTGTAAAGAAATGTGGAGGAGCGGTAATAAATGAAGATGATATAAAAGAAGTTCTTCATTGAGATGACAATACCCCAATCATCAATCAATTAACTAATGACAAAATATGTAGTATGGTTCTAGATCCATATCAATAGTGAAGAAAGTGACAAAGAGGTTATTGAAAAAAAAATTTTTGATTGAAAAATTAGTCGTAATTCTCGACACAGCAATTAGAGGACTTGAACAAAATGGAACTTTGTAACTGAACACAAAATTGTGTCTGTCTATAGAATCAACGAGAAAGTATTAGCATAAAAAAACAAAGCAACTTAAACAACTTACATTGAAAGAAGTGTTTAATAAAGTAAACAAATAAATATGAAGCCTTTTTTTTTGTAAATTTTGACAACCTTTAGATCACAAATGCTTCATTATTTCATAAATCAGGATTTCATATTTTTAATTTTACAATTTCTACTTCCCATCTTACTAGATTTAAACTAAAATTCGAAAAAATCCCAAATCCAGAATCACCAACGTCTCGATGAATCCAGAACGCAAACTTTGTACTGCACTTAAAGTATTATTAGTACTATGATTTTTCACATATATTCATTCTAATGCGAAAAAGGCAAAATGCCAAGGAATATTATATTTCAGTTAAAATGTTTCATTAGCTTAGCATATTACCAAACAGACTGCCAATCAAGGAATTAACATCTGCTTATTTCCTCTTATCATTTGCAAAATCTAAGACAATGGTCTCAAACTGAAATTGCATGTAGGCTGAATGCACGACTTGAAAGGAGCTGATGAGGCTGAATCTTTTTTAACCAAAATAAAACTAAATTTCTAATAACTAACTATGTTTTAACTTAATTTCAAATTTCACTTTCGAAATATTTATCAAAACATACTTTAATCACAATAATAATAATAATAATAATGCAAAGAGAAAAAATTTAATTTTTAGTATTTATTTCCTATCTGCAAAAAAATACTAATAGGATTTTTTTTTTCATTATAATTTTTAGTTCAAACATACAAACAGCTAAATATTAATTTTTTTGGGACTGTATTTATTTTAAATAATTATAATACATTGGATTAATCATTAAATAGCTTACTTTAACATAAACTAAAAAAGTTATGAAATCTTTCCCAATTTTCAGAGAAAACCTTCCGAATGAGATAAAACTTGCGAATAAATAGCGATAACTTAATCCCTGTCCCTATCTTTGTATCTCTAATGTTGATTATATTTTAAATTGATGTTTAATTAATGCTACACATAAATCTATAAGCATGGTATTAAGAACAAATACATAATTGAGGTATATTCGTAGGCTGCATAAAATTGCTTTGGGAGCCACAAGCGGAATGAGGGCTGCCAGTTTGAAATCACTGATGTAAGGTATTTATGTATAAAACTATGCAAGAAAAATAATAAAGAGGCAAAATTAATAAGTAACACAATTAGAAACAAGTCGATTAAAAATTTTTGAATCAAATTACCTGCAACATTTTCAAATTCTTTCCTTTTGTTTTCTTTATGTCTTTTAGCTGACACTCCTGAATTATCACCAGGAGCACTAAAACCTTTATATTCTGGGACAGATGTAACACGACATTTTTTCCTTAAAAGGGGAGTTTTCAACTGATGCTCAGAATATACATCATCTGAAGATAACAATTCATCTTCTTTTTCTAAACTATTAATGCTAGAATTGCTTTTAAATCCCAATGTGGAATTTAAGTATTTTTGGTTAGAATAAAATATTGAGTCAATTTCCTTTTGGGGATGATTCAATTTTGATTCTTCAAACATTTTTTTTTGTCTCTCAATAATATCCTTCATTTTTTGAATTCCTCCTAAAAGTAACAGTAATATAGATTATAAAATAACATTCTTCATAATAACACATGATGTAAATTTGTTTAAATAACATCACTAGAATAAACAGTAGTAGTAATAATAATATATTTTATATCAGAAAAGGCAAAGAGAAAAACATGTAAACATGTGTGCTGCGGATGCTCTCAGCTGATCAGTGTTCATGTTTACAGAGCGTTGACACTTTTTTTTTTTTAAATATTTTATATACCAGTAGTCAAACTTCATGAATGCGCAACTCAAAAAAACAATTTTCCAAACCCAAGCAGAGTGTCGACCCTTAGTAACATACCATTAATTCATATTTTTTCCACCTTGCGACCCCGTCATTTGAATACTACTGGCTGTACTATTTATACTTGGGGTATAAATTGATGAACAGATCCGGACTTGCTCCTGATCTTCACCTGTAAAAATTGTTACTGCTTGGAGTTGTAAAAAAGAGGTTAACAATTTTTACTCTTCCGACATGTTTATTCACAAAGTTTATACGGAGTTGTTATGTGGCACATTTTCATTGTGCTAATGCATTTGAACTAACTCCTATTAAGGTTTTTATTTAATTGAAATGGTTTCAACTAGATTAACAAGGGCAGTTTAAAAGCTTTGTTACAATAATCTCATGTTATTGTTCTTTCATCAGTATCAAGGCATAGAACATCTGTTCTTGTAAAGAAAGCAAGGAAGAGTTGTTCATTGCAATGGACAGTGTCACTTCTTTGTTTTCAGCTTTTGTTGCTGAGATGGAAAAGTTCAGTTTGGAAAATATATTGTACTTCTTGCACTTCTGCAAATGGAGAGAAACAAAGGAAGATTTGTTAGTGACTCGTTGAAGAAATGAAGAGTTTTTTTAAGCTAACAATAAGAACTGAAAATAATGCAATGAAAGCTTTTTAACAGCTTTTGCTAATCTAACTAAAACCATTTCAATTATATAAAAACCTTAAAAACAGTTAATTCAAATAATTATTGCAGTTAAAATTTGCAACACAACTTGGCTTATTTATAAAAACACAACACATGTACTAACCATAAATATTTAAATGATTTATTCATAATTTTCATTATAAGACAGTGTCAATGAAATGGTTAAATTACAACTGAACTTTAATTGAATTTATTGAATTAATTACTAAAGTGAACTGCTTGATTGATATGTATGAATATTTCTTTCCCAGTGTTTGAGAGGTTGTGTTATCTTAGAAGAATTTATTATGCATTTACACTGAAAAACTAAAACATTGTAACCACCTACTCAATAATGCATTGCATGACCTCTGATCTGCAAAACAGCTGTAACTCACCCTGGCATGGATGCCATAAGTTCTTTGTAGATGACTAGATAGAGGTTATACCAAATGTCTAAGCAATGGTTATGCAAAGTCAAGATATTCTGATATGGTGATGCTTCAGCTCTGAGCTGCAACTCCAAGACATCCCAAATGTACTCTACTGGGTTAAAACCCGGTGAGTTAGATGGCCAGGTCATCAACTGAAATTATTTCTTATGCTTCTTGAACCACTCCAGCATAATTCAAGCCTTGTGACATGGGGCACTGCCGGAAGATTCCATTTTTAATTGGGAAAACAGATGTCATGTAAGGGTGTAACTGATCTGCAGGTATGTTCAGGTATTCCACAGCTTTTAGAGTCTGTTCTGCCTCACATAAGGGTCCTAGAGCCTCCCATGTGAACATTCCCCAAAGCATAACACCGCCACCACCAGCCTGTATAAGACCTCCTGTACAGGAGTCTAGCAGTTCTCAGTTCTAGCAAAATTATAACTACATTTATGTACACAACAATGATCATGCATTACTATGAATATTTAAAAAATCAGCACTAAACAAGAAACTATACTGACAAAGTTAGCATTATAAAACAGCATCTGCACTCCTTGTGGTAGCAACAAGAATAATGGTAAAAAAATGATGGACAGAAATGATGACCATATCTAACCTGCTCGACAAGTGTCGTGACCTTCTCCCTTCTTGAAAATGAACAGTGGGCTTGTTCTTTGAAACAGTTCAATGTTTTTAGAGTTACAAATGAACTGAACTCAAAAATTAGTTGATTTTAGTTGGTATCGATGGCAGTAAACGTACCAGATAACTTCCCGCATAACAAGGGTGAATTTGGCAATGTTTTCAGGAATATTTAATGCTATATTTTAAATGCACAGTATAGCTAGAAATGGCAACTAACAGAAAGCTAAAACACTTTTTTTTTTAACAAGGAATCTGATTCTGAAGATGGAAAACTTTTATCAGAAACTTTCTAACTTGTTTACTGAAAATGCTATCAAATATTGCTTTGAAAGTTCAAAAGATGGTTTGAGCGGAGAAGATGATTTAGGTAAATATATAATTTACCTAACAATAATTATTAAACTTATAACAATTTTATATGCATGTAAGTTCTTTATATTTACATATATATACTTATAATTAGTATAGTTACATGCAAGACTGATATATTGCACTGTAAATAACAGTCTTAGATGTTATATAAGTTACTTACATATACTTAAATATACATAAATATTACTTACATATACTGAACAGAACACACATACATATATTCATTAAATGTTTGGTTATGATAGTTATAATTGCTTTGTAAATTAATTTTCTAACATGTCTTGTTACATTAAAAAAATTTAGTACTAAAATACTACTATAATGTCAAATTAATAACATGCGAAAATGCAATGGAAAAAAAAAAAAAACAATTTATCATTCTTTTTTTAGTATTTGTTATTGCAAAATATAATGCTTTTATTATTTTCTTAAGAAACACTATAAAACAGTAACTTTCTATAATGATAAAAGCATATTTTCACTTTAAAAAAGATCTCAGTTTATATATTTATCAATTTATATATGTAACTACCAGAAACAGCTACAAAAGAAAACAGAGTATTTAAAGTTGATATTTAAAAGGTTTGTAAGACCCAAAAAAAAAAAAAAAAAAAAAAAAAAAAAAAAAAAAACAGCCAATTTTAAAATGTATATTTTATTCACGTCACGAGTGTAATTTACACAAAGTAACAAATACTTAAAATCACATTCAATAACAAAAACTGAAACCAATTATCAAATGTGAGGGAGATCACTAATACCAATTAACAGTGACCTTAAACACCAAACAGGATAGTATTCGCAAACAAAATTAAAAACTAAAAAAGGGGGATGAGAGTTCATAAATAGAAAGCATAATGAAAATCTGCAGAAACCTAATTTACATTAAAAAATAATCAAACTTACAATTAATAATGCAGGAAGATTTTAATAGGACAAGTTTACAGTTTTAATATATAAGTGGAAGATACATAAAAGTACAAAAATATTGTATAATATAAACTCCCTTTTCATTAATACTTACTTTCAGATACAGCTTTTCTCTGCTGAAAAAATGGTTTTTTCACATCAGAAGCAATTTTCCATTCAATGCCATCAGCTACGTTTAGTGATTTGCTGCCCGAAACTGGACTTCTATCTCTGTCAGTATCAGTTTGAATTGATACTTCTTTTCTTAAAAAATCTTTCTCCCATGATGTAAACTTTATTTCTGATGGATCCTTTAACTGCTTACTTTCAGAACTAGAAATGGCAATAAAAATTCTTATTAAGATAATTACTTTAACAATTTAAAATTAAAAAAATCATATTTACACTGCATTAAAATAACTGACACCTTAGCACATATAATTAAACAGTCTAATGTATTAATAATCTCTATTTTAGGAACAAGAAATTTCCAAATTTTGTTCTCCTGCTACTTATTTAAATCATGCATTTACAGAATTTGTTACATGACATAAAAACATCAGCAATGAATTTATTTAGCATTTTTCTTCTTTTAATAAATAATAAAATGAAATACAGCAGAAAAATATTAAAAGCAGTTTAAGAAAATGACAGTAATACATGTTACAACTCCTCTTTTTATGTTATGATGCATTCTAAAGAGAACTTTAAAATAGTAACTTCAGCAGCAGGGATTACAAAATTGTAAAGAAATGACATGAAAAGATACTTTTATTCCAAAGCATTTGTTCATATTTACATTTAAAAAGCCAGTCACTTTAAAAGTAAAACATAAAACCATTTGTATATAAGTTCAATAAAATCCAAAGCCCTTGTTTTTGCAAAGTTTAAACACACAACTAAAGAATTAATTATTTTCAAGAAATCAATGGTTGAGATAGAATAATTATCATATTTTACCAGTGTATATAGTGCACTGATGTATTACAACATGGTCATTTTTCACAAGCATTTTTAGGGGGAAGACTATATTGAAAGGGGGGACTATACAATGCTAAAAGTAATTACAGCACCTTACTTATTTATTTTTATGTAAAGCCATTATGAATTATGCAAAAAAAAGAAGATGAAAGGGATAGAGAGAATTAAAAACAGTTTTAATTTTTATGCCCATCTTTAGAAAGGTATTAGTTGCTGAAATCTCTGCAGTATCTGAATCAGAACTGTTGTGCCTTTTAAAAAATAAACTCTCTTATATTAACAATTTATGTAATCTTCCTCATACTTAACAAAATTTCATATTTATTGCAGACTTCACTTGATAATTGAAACATAAAAGAACATCAGCATGAAATGGCATGAAATAAGTTACATTTGAACAAAGTTCTAAATGAAATTTAATCCATTGGTTTCTATGATGCCTTCTGATTTTGAAACAGATTTATGAAAGAGGAGAGTAGACTTATATATCTTCACATATTATAATTGTTATACAAGATTAAATACAACTACTGTTATATCAGAAAAATTTATAAATAAATAATTCTTGATAAATACTTAAAACTGATTAATGTTATATTGTTTTCCCTCTAAACTTTAGGCTGATATTATCTCAAATCCCCAAACATTGAGACTGGTGATTAATATCAATGCTGGTTACATTTTTGTGAAGTATGCAAAGGTGAAGTTCTCTTTATTGCATTAGTATTACTTAAAATATTTTATCAGAAATTTCATTTTCAATTGAAGTTTAGAAATGGCTAACTCTAAACCTTATGAAAAATCTGAATATGGTACAGTTTTCTTGACATCACAGCTATTTATGTAGAAAATCCATAACAGCAATTTTTCAGACATTCAAATACTTCTTGACACCCATTACTGCTTTGCGTTCCAGAACAAAATACATAAATTTCAGAATTATATGAATTTTTTACTAAGGAAATTTTAAATTTAGTTCTTGGCAATCACTCATTAACTAAGCCCCCTGAACCAACAGGAACAGAGCAAGAAGTTCTGTGAAAGGCAATGTAATTTGCCTGAGAAAAATAGCCAAGTCTTTGTTTGTTTCAAACACTGAAGGAACTTCTTTCTCGTATCTATGGTGCACATGTTGAAAAACTGACCCCCCCCTTTTTTAAAAACATATGAACCCAAAAATTTTAATTGCCATTGAAAGGAAAAAAAAAAAAAAAAACTTTCACCAGACATCTTTTTGCAGGAGCAGTTCAAAACCCCCTTGGACTAGCTTAATCTTTTTATGCACGACATTATCATAAGCAAATCAGTAATGAAAAAAAGAGCACAAAGGGTAAAAATGGAAACATCAGAAAAATTTTCACAGAACTTTAACATATAAGCATAAGATTGGTTATATATAAAAGCTGACAATTACCTATCGCTTGAATAAAATGCCTTTTTATTTACATCCTCAAAAGCATCTGCAATTAAGGATGATGTTCCTTCTGAAGATGGCCTTTCAATCCCAGAAAAGCTAGATAACTCACTTGATGAGATTTTTGATAAAACTTTATCAATAGACGTTTTCATGTAGATTTGTTTCAAATTTTCAGATTGAACAGAAGGTACTTTTGAGGAGGCAGTCTTTGGCTGATCTTCTGAAGGCAGATAAATGCTTTTGGGAACTAAAAAATTCATAATTACATTTTTACAGTAACTAATAAGTATACTTTAGACCATAAATTATAAGGAAGAAAGTGAGATACCATAGTGAAAAAAATAGGTCTAAAAATGTTACCATCATTATATGTCAATGTGGTCTTTCATCAGATACCACAAATGCAAACATTTACATATTTCTGTGGTATGCAAAAGCAAGAGTGATGAATTATTTATACTGTTATACATAAACACTTATAATTTTTTTTTACTTTTGTGGGATAATATTCTGTGGTACTTCTTTGTTATAGTGGTCCCCAACCATATTTAGCAATTTCAGATTTGTACCAAGACCTCAGCTATAATTTTGCCAAGCTTGTAAAATGTGAATGTAAAAATAAATAATTATATAATAATAACAATAATACTTAATGTTATTTCCTAAGAATGTTTTTAAGAATCCTTATCCTTATTATTATTATTTAATTGCATGTGATTGCTCCATCAACTGCAGCACTTTCATACATACTAAGCTATTCCTTACAGTATTTTATCGACGTCAGCTCCTCTGCTTAACAATACATAAATCTAATAGCAGTTATGAATGATATTCTGGAACTGCTGAACCAATTTCTAACACGGAGGTTCTTCTTCTTTTTTTTTTTTCTTTCAATTTTTAACATTGCACCTCCATATGATTTGGCCATTATCATACAGTTCCATGTTGTAGCCATTTTCACATACTTGTTTGTCAGGTAAATGACCTCTTTCTTGAAAAAATGATATGGCATCTAACTCATCACTTGGTAAATTAAAGATTGCTGATGTTATATTTACAAAAAAAGTAATGAATATATTTTTAAATAAACAATGCAAATTCGAAAATCTCATCAAAATGAATAATATAAGACAAAAATGCAACATGAAGTTAATATATGATTATATGGCAAGGTATAAGAACATGCAGCCAATGTTACATACAATCAATAGACAATCACATGGTTATGACTTATTTAATTGTGTTGTATTTTTATGAATGATTTAGTTTTAAATAAAAATCCTTTTTCAATTTTTTATGGCAAAAGAATCCTAGCATTAATAACAGTTAGTAGGTACATATATATTAATGCAACCAGTTTGGTGACATGTTTTGGTCACAGTTTGGTGATTTATTACAAGTGAAAAGGTAAAAGTTATTTATGCAAGTTGTTGGTTTTTGTGATTTTTTAAAGAGATACCAAACTATTGATATTTATCCTAAGTTTACAAACATTATTAATATATGAAAAGAAAACATAGTTCAATTTAAAATAAAAATATTAATTATTAAATAAGGATTACATGATTCATTAAAAACATAACACATTGTGTGCATCTTCAAGCATGGGTATTTTATGCGTAAGTTTCTTTATATTTCTTATTGGTATTATATTGGTGGCATAGCAATGCAAAGATGTTATAATGTCTAATGGTATTTTGCACTGAATGTCTGTATCACTTTTCAAATTCCGCTTTGAATTCCCCATGGAAAAAACGCCCCCTTGGGCATAATATAAAATCTGAAAGATTTCAGATTTTTTTCTTACCCTCTTTGTTTGTAAAATGCTTATATCCTACCATAGTTTGACATACACTAATAAGAAAATTTTAATAATTATTACATAGAATTTTGTACTTCAGTCAACAATATTTCTCCTCTGTCATAATAAGTTATTCATATTTATGAAATGCACATCAGTTTTAAGCCTGATAGTCTTGCTAACAAATGCTAAAACAAGCAAATCAACCACAATACATTCCATTTTCAAAATATTATATTATGTATAAAATAATTGTTAAAATAAGATGTTTTGGAAATTTTATAATTTTCAGGTGAAGTTGTGTTATAAAATACTTTTTAAAATTATTATTCTTTTATATACAAAGAACTAGTCACTCTGATACATACCACATTTGCCGGCATAAAAGACGCATCCCCTTTTTATACAGATTTTTGAACGATAAAACTTTATTACTGATCATTATAATCAATTTACGGTATTTTAAATATAAAGTAATACAAATACAAAGTAATACTTTTTGCAAATACCCAATCTATCAGTTGCCTTTTTTAGATCCTCTTCCTGATTCCATCAAGTTCTAATCATTTTCTCAGTTGAGGGTGGCCCGAAATGTCTCTTTGCAGTCCTGTTTACATGTTTTTAGCATATGCAATCACACATAGCTTGTATGCTATGTTATAGCAATACCTGCATTGTTTTTGAGCCATAACTTATCAATAAATTTCAGAAAATTGAACAGTAGAAATTTCACAAACTTAAAAGTCATTCAAAAAATTGGAAAGTTTAAGCAAACTCAGCTGTGATAATCGATTATAGCACATACACATTCACTGAACTCTACGTAACTAATATTGCCCCACTCTGCAAGGGAGCACGAAAAAAAATTGCATAACTCAACACAGGAAATTTCCAGAAGAAATGAATGTAATCAAAAACTGAGTATCGACGTATAAAACGCACTCTGTTTTTCAGACCTATTTTCAAAGGAAAAAAAGTGCATCTTATAAAACCGGCAGATACAGTTACATGAATTCTCTAATTGTTATCAGACATGATAGAAAGGTTGCATATCTCTGGAAACTCTATGTGTATTATTCATGCTCAAAACAGACATTAATTCAGTATCACTGACATTCTTACTTCAGTAAAACATGATGAAGTTGGATTATGAAGAACTGTAATGTCCTCTAAAAATAGCAACAAAAAGTGAACCATTTTGGGAAAAAGTAGAAATATGAGTTTGTCTTGCTTCCTTATATTAGACAATACAAAATATTCACAAGGTATTTCACGTTACAGTGGAGGTACTTTTGCGCTTGAAAATAACATGTATTCATACATAAGGTGTTTTAAAAGACCGCATTGACCAAAAATCTTGAATGATAAGTTCATGACCTTAGTAGAAGAAATGTATTAATTAGTACTCTTTCAAATTATATAATTTTTGATTACATGATTGGCATAGTAAAATATATAAAATTTAAACTTTTATATGGACATTTAAAAAAAAAAAAATGTTCTTAATTAGCAAGTTATTCCTTAAGAGAAAAAAATCTTTTCTTGAATATTAGCTGGTACTGATGATAAACTGGTAAAAATGTTACAGACTCTGATTCCTATGTATGAGATTTTTATTTCTTTTCTTATTAATGTTTTCTCTCTGTCTGGGGAAGAACGGTTGAGATGCAGTGAAAAGTTGATTTTTCTTTTCCTTTTTCTGTCAACTTCAGATCAATCAGAGCAAGCATTTCAATTTTTTGATAAACCTTTCCCTTAGAAAATTCCCATGACTGTTTATTTGTCCCATATTATTTAATACAATAATTATCTAACTATAGATAACACACCTAGGACTTATAAATAGTAAAATAGTAATTAAATAGAGAAAAGTGTTACTTACAATATGTGTATTTGATATGTCATTCCAAAATTTTTGATACTTTGAGATTATCTGCAATCCCAACGAAAAGTCGCAAACATTTTGCTGACTAGAGAATATTACTTTGGGTACCTTCACATTTATTTCAACAAAACGTCTAGTGCTGCCAATTTTTTTACATTCTTCTTTTCCTATATAAGACATGTACACTTTTTGGCGTTTTGTGCTGTTGTTCTTCCCATGTACACAGCAATCAGTTTTTGCTTAAAAAAAAAAAAAAAAAAAAAAAAAAAAAAAAAAAAAAAAAATTGCACAAACTTGGCATCATATACAATATTGACACCAAAATCTAAAAATGAGAAAGGAAAAAGAGGCACATGATACTTTCAAGTCAGTCACATTATGCTCTGTACATGAAGAAAGTTAAGCCCAAGATTTTACCAAAGATCACTAAGACTGTAGAATGCAATTCACTGCTATGCTAAAACAGTGAATTAGCCTATGAGAAACCATAATCTACAGTCACACTGGTAAGAATGCTCATAAAAATGGAAAGCCATCTGGGGGAGAGATTCCAGGTTTGCCATACAATACATTTTGGTCACACCATGGGGTGCAACATAAACACTTTTTGGCAATATGATGTGTTGCCTTGTAAGGTTTATTATAAGATTTTAACAGTTATCTTTAGTTAAAGCTACTTTCCTATCCTTCCTGATTTCAGCTTACAATTTCCTACCAGAATATGTTTTTAGAATTGTGTTTAATGCAAATGAGTAAGAGCGGTATTTAAGTCAAAGTTCTACTGACTTAAATAGAGAACTGAGTTAGTTACTGACAAAGTTAGAGAGCCAGAGTTTCTCACTAGCACGCGTTTGCTTTTTGGCTACGTCTCTCTAAGCTATTACTACGCTCGGTCATATTTCAAGCCCTTGATAGCTTCACCAGCTTATTTGATATTTAGGGGCTAACTACTTAGAAATCATGATAGCTTCGGCTATCAATATTTTGAAGTATTTCTATCTTTTATTTAAGCTTTAGTTAAGTTTTGTTTCTTATTACTTTGAGTTCAAGCCCAAGTACAGGATTTGCCATACGCTCTGAGAAAGGAGCCGAAAGTACATTCTTATTTTGAATAATAAAGGGTAATTAACAATTCTTAAGTTTTACGTCTCTGTTCCCGAACTCAAGCGATTGGTTGCTCATCTGTTCACGAGATTCCTGCACATTTAGCTGTTAGATAAAAGAATGGAACTCCACAGCCTCATCAATGCTTTTTGCATCTTTTTGATAGAGCTGTGAATAAATTAGAATGAATAAACTTTTTTACAGTTAATTTAATAAATATTTTCATTTTATATGAAATACTTTGCAAAGTCTAAGACTTCTCTTTCTGAGCCCTCCTTGGTAGAAAATTTGCATAGCCCTTGGTTTTAGCCAAACTCATATTTCTAAAATTTTGCTTGCCTTGTTTTTGCTATGCTATACATACACACTAGGATTGTATATATAGCATCAAAGTCCACATTTTACAAGGGCTTGTGTATATTGAATGTTGTATAGCATGATGTCCATGATCAGTTTG